ATGACCTGCTTTAAATGAAAGAATAACATTCCAGAGTCTTTGTCTTCGGAGAGATTAGAATTTAAAATTTTAGAGATTAAAATTAACTTAATATTTTTTAAAGGTTTTTATTTCAATAGAAATATTAAAAATTCAGACTATCTTTTCTTCCCGGGGTGACTGTATCTCCTTTGATGTTAAACCAGCATCTAAAAAAGAGTAAATAAAGAGGCCACACGTAGACGAACACTACAATATATTATAGATAACATTAAAATTAACAATTTCAAAATTTGCGTCTTGTCATAGTCCTAACATCTTTAACCGCTTCTCATTCTAAGCGCGTTTTTAAAGTAGCCTCAAGTTGCAATGTGCTTCTCACACGCGATAATTATGCGCGAAATTTTAACGGTTCTGTTTTTTAACACTTCCCCTTTTGAGTTTCAGGAACATTGATCCGGAACTCATCACTGTTTTGTCCATATCTTGAGGGAGACTGAACAACACGTCCAGTTGTTGTTGTTTTGGTTATCGGGATTCTCTTGGTTTACAGGAGGTTCTTCTTCTAAGAAACAATCTCCACATTAGCAACATGGTTCTCACCAACCAGTTCTAAACGACACAGCCTTTTGACGGGTCTACTTAGAAATCCTGCTTTAGTTTTAATTTTGGTGGTTCTAGCTTCTCCATTTTTGCTGGTATAAATCGATAATATTCTTCCTTAAAGGCCAATATAGTCTTTTGAGGTTATCAATCCATATTAATATGATATCTTCAACGTTAGGGACATAAACTCTGTTTCGAGCTATTGTTCTTTCTTGCAATTGTCCCAAGCATTCATTTCGAAATCTGACTCGAAGATTGGAATCAACTTTTTTCTGTAAACTAATCTTTTTTTCAAATCTTTGCTAGTCGTATTAATTAGGCGATTTTTTCTCAAAAATAGATCAGGTGTTAATGAGTTTAAGTCTACTGAATCTTTACTGATATCGGTTAGCGGTCTAGCATTTAGTTGGCTTTTACAGTCACAGAGAATGGTTTCCATTTCTTGACAGTTTAGAGATGTTCGTCCTAACCCCACCAGGGGACTGCTGGAGGAATAAATCTCCAGGTAATAAGAAAAATAGATATTTTCATTTTTTCCAGATCGACATTTTTCAATAAATTTTCAGCTTTGGTAAAGTTAGTTGCGTTGTATGAATGTATCACTAAAGGACGACCGCAACGAGCTATGAATCTTCTAAGTGCCAATTAAAAATTGCCTGTTGATAGAGTCAGAAGTTCTAAATGTACTGCTCTATAAACTGCACAGGATTAGGATCCATACCTTCTTTCATTTGTTTAGTAGTAATGAACCTGCTAACGTCCACTCCAATAATTTCGAAAATGCAGGCATTTTTTACACGATCTTCAAAAAGCATTCCTACTGGAATATCAGGGGGTTTGACTCTAAATTTTTGACAAACAATGCATGTTTTGATTACTGCTTTTATAATTCGTCTACTTTTCAGTACTCAATGATTTTTCCTCAAAGCTACCATTAGCGACTGTACTCCACAATGTCCAAGTTCTTGATTAACCATCAAGAACTTGGACAAAATTAGGCACATGATGATCAGATAGTAGAACAATCGGGACTCTGAAATTTTCATCGTGGTCTCTCAAAAGGAGCTTTGATTTAATCCTCAAAATTCCATCAGCATCTGTAAATGTCGACAATGATTTTAAAAGCTTTCTCACTATGGAAAGCGTCTTCTTGAACTTGTCCAAAATCGTAAGTTCAGCTTCTTTAAGCTCTTCAGCAGATAGTTCTCCTGTATTTTTGTTAGGTGTCTTAGAATTCACAGATCATAATCCGGCTATTTATCTTTAGAATCTCTAAGCCAGGGAGGTCCTTCGTGCCATTCTTGCTTTAGTAAGGCTTTTACCGAGCAATCTGGTGGTGGTATGTCTGCAGAATTGAGTTCCAGGAGAAAACTTTTATTTATTGGATTCTGATAGAGTTCTAATTTCATTTACATGGTTAGATACAATAAAGTACAAGGGCCTTCTCTTTGGATCAAATGAAGTACGTCCATAAAATCGGACCAGTAGACTGACTGATTATTTTCTAACGTCAAAGCTTTCTTCACCTCATTGGTTAATCTAGCCCCAATAAGACATGCTAGAAATTCCATCCTTGGAATCGATAATCTCTTCAAAGAAACAATTACTGATCTAGCTTGTATTGACAAGCTACTTTTCCCTCCTTTTCAGCTCTAAGAAAAATACAAGTCGCATGCAAACTTTGACGCGTTATAAAATGTATGCAGTGTTATGTCGGATTCACTAAGGTCTAAATCAGATAGTCTGAAAAGTATCTTGAGGTTTTTAATTTCTGGTAACTCATCTTTCCATTTTTCAAATCTTTTAATTATATCTTCTGATATTTAGAATCCCAACTTCCAGCATTTCTAAAGAAGCAGTTTAGGAATTAACGCTATCGGGCAAGTGAAACCTATGGGATCAAATAACTGATGTGTTTTAGATAGAATTTTTCGTTCAGTAATCGGTTCATTGTTCTCAGTTTTTATCAATTGGCATGACAGGATGTCTGTCATAGTATCTCACGTGAGACGTAAAACCGATACATCGTTTTCATCTATATAAGCTGATCTATCTCTAAAAGAATCTTGTATCTCAGAAAGAAAATTCCATTGACTAAGTCAGAGAATTTTTTGGGACTCTCTTTTGAAATATTTTAAGTCAGCAACAGAGTCAATACTTGCAACACAACTATCCACATAAAATGAATCTTTCGGTTTCATTGCAAGTCCTTTCAAAGGCTCTTCTACTTGATCTAAAACATTATTCACAATAGCTGCAAGTAAAAAGGGGCTGTTTGAAATAACGAATAAGACCCTGAAATGTCTGTAGGTGATTAACTGTTGGGGATCTCCACCTTTCCACCATATAAACCGTAAAACATCTCTATCGTTTTAGTTCAGGCTTATCTGCAAGGAGGCTTGTTCGATGTCTGCAACAACTCCGATATTTCCCCACCTAAACCGATTTAAAATTGTCGGAATCATCTCAATTAGATTGGGATCTTTTTAGATGCATTCATTCAATGAGATGGAGCTGCCAGTTCTAACAGAACCATCAAACACAGGACGAACTCTAGTGGCAGAGCTCTCCTTAAATATCGCTCTATGTGGCAAATAATGCATACCCAACTTGTCCTGATCAATTTGCTCAATTATACCTTCTTTTTCCCATTGATTGAAAACCTCTTCAAATTTACTTAATCCAGGGTTTCTTACACTGTGGGTCGCGGAACCTGCAGTAGGGGATCGCCAAAAATTTTAGCAGTTTTGATATTTCTATGATTTATTATAATAATTTTAAGATTACCAAATATTTTTACACAATGTATCTGAAAGTAGATAAAAATAAGACAATGCAGACAAAGGGAAAAAAAACGAAAAACATTCTTTTTTTTTAATATAAACGTTTTTGCTTTGCACGTGATGTTGTCATTTCGTCTGTTACCTACTTAAAATTTAAATGATCGTCACCCGGAAAGTCGACGCCCTGTCTAGAAGACAATGCTTAGAGAGTTGCTTATATTGTACAACGTTGAAGAGAAATACGAGCTGGTTAATTCCGTCGAACGTTAAATTACAACTTCAACATCAGCTGACCCAGACCCCAAGTAGAAACGTACCTGGCAGGATATTTCAATCTATAGTTCTAAGATAAACCAATATTGAGCTCTAAGGCTGAACTCCATATTTGAAGTGGCATCTAGTACCGGAAGTTCGAATCAGATGTTAGAAGGGCATTCAAATGGCAGCTGATATTTTGAAGATCTCGGACATTCTTTAAAGAACTACATAGCAGCCCGACAAGAGGCTACTTCAGAATAATTAAGAATTTGCATACTTCGAGAGTGATTCTAGTAGAGTAATAATGCAAGGTCTGATGTGCAAACATGGTGCCAATCATGCAATGCTTGTGCGAGTCAGAATGGACCAAAGAAACGCAGAGGGAAGTTACAACATTATAATGTAGAAGCGCTTCTTGGAATGCATCGCCTTCTGTCAAGGACTGCTGATGGCAACAACTTTCTTGTCACGGATAACTTCACAAAGTGGACTGAAGCACTCCACTTTTTTCACCAATTTTCTGCTGCCCGTGTATTCTTAACACTATAAAGTGATGAATCCCCATTTTCAAACTATTTCTGAAATTGAATATTGTATGCATCCAGCATCTATTACTTTCCCTTGATTGAACACATCTAAATTGTTACTTTTAGCAGTTGCTTAGAAAGAGCTACACTTCTAATTATAATATGGCAGTGCTATGAAACTTGCAGAATGGTCACTTCAGGGTTTCAGCATCAAAACGTGTATCGTTTTTAACAAAGAGCTTAATGATATTATTTTGGTATTGCACAAGCTACCTGCTTTGGACATTGTAATGGATTTATTAAATTAAATTTGCTCACCCATTATAATACATACCTGCCTAGTTAACCAATGTTTGGTTTTTCTCACCTGTTTGACCACTTAATTATATAGAACAAAACAATGTTTCTTTTACAAACTTGAATATTTTCAAAAAGTGAAATAAATTTAATAAAAACACTTGATTTTTTAACAGAGTAAATTTAACTCAATAAAATTACAGTTTATATATGTGCCTTATAATAAAATTGAGTATGCAGTATTTATAATTATATCTTGCATCATCCAGAAACCCAATGAATGGGTTATATTTGGTTATATTCCTCATGTTCAGCAGAAGATATTTTAGATATTTTTAAGAATTTTGCATCTTGGCGATTAATTTTTTCACAACTGACCCTATCTGTTTTCAAATTTTGTTCTCAATTTAAGTTTTTAGGCATTTTTTTAATTATTATTTAATTTTTAATATCTTTACTTGGTAATAACAGTGTGCTTTAGTAGGAGAGTTCTGAGTATTTAAAAAATACAATTAAGTATTTTGTAAAAATAAAATGATATAACAATTAATGCTTAATAAAAATTCATAGACTTTATTTATTTTCATACAAGCAAACATCATTCTCAATACAACTAGTAACAATTCTTCTGCAAATGCACCTACAATGATTTTCATGAATATGTTAACTACACTGCAGATCACATAAAAATTCATGCATGTCATGCCATGCATACCAAAACAAATATAGGCACTTTTAGTAGTTTTGAAAAATTTTCTTTAGTTTTTGTACAGTAATATACATCATCTTATATAATTTCATAAGTAGAAAGCACCAAGTTGAAATAAAACGTTAAATTAGCACCTATAATTAGCACATCTAATAAAATTAAAAAATTTAATAATTTTTAAAACAGTAATAAAATGAACATGATTGAAAGACAAAACATTTAAGATATCACAACCAACAATTATTATGTTATAACATATAATTATTAATGGCAATGCTTCAACTAGAAATACATTTCTAACGTGAAAAGGGATACTAATTAAAATTAATTTTCTGATTAGTAAATTCCATCTCTCATGTACCTGCCATGGAAAAGGAAACTTTCAGATTTAGATATATATACATATACAATTGAGCTTATATCAAAACTATAATTTTTAAAAACAATATTATTTTCAATTTAATTTACTTTAACATAATGTGCAGTTTGAAGGGGGGGGGACGGAGGTGCATGACTAAACCATACATACTGTGAAATCTTTTATGCTGGTTCATAATGCACTTGTCATTCACCATTAAAATGAAAAATTATAGAAAATTATATCAACAACATTCTAAACTCCTGCAGTTGACAATTTTACACATACCTAGTATTTTACAAAGGGGGGGGGTAAAGTAATAAACAGTATTTATTCCTTTCCAATACTATACAGGAGGTGGGCCATCTGGATAACGAAGCATTGGATTCAGAGAGCTAGCAAAACTGTTTGATAATCGACAACTTAATTCTTCCTCCTCTTCTAAAGGCATGAAGATAGCAGCCCCAACAAGGAGTAACAAAATTGCTTGGATTGGAAAAGAAGCTCTTGCAACTCTTAGTAAGAAACTGCAACATCGTCGAATTGTGGCTGGTCTATCATCATCACTACAAAAGAAAATTTCAGCGTTAGATGGTATTCCTTGATGGAAAGAAAAACTATTTGCAAAATTACATTACACAACCATACATAAATTTTAGATGATGATTTGATATTATGAAAATATACAAAATAGTTAGGTCTTAAAAGGTACATCAAATCCTTTGATACTTAATATAATATAAAAACTTAATTCAGTCAATAAGAATATAAGTAATATAACATAAAAATTTAATTCAGTTCACACTTCTTAATTCAATTAATAAGAAACTATTGATTTCTGGTGAATATTTAAATTATACTACAAAAGTAACATAAAATTTATCAATGTTTAAATTTTCTAGTTAAAAATTTTAGTACCAAGTTATTATTTCTCTGTCACCATGTTCAGTATGGTTATTGGCAGTGCTAGCTGCCATAGCAGTATTCAAAGCACTGAGAAAGCATAGATATTTGTAGTTGTAAAGTTTTCCCTTCTCATGAGTGTAATATGCGTCCACTTCTAGAGGTGCACCTTGGGGGAATATCATCAGTGATGAAACTGCTATTTGGACAATACTTAAAGAGCAAGTTTCTGGGCCATTATTGGGAGAGAAAATATTGGTCTTATATTTAATTGAAAAATCTCTGACAGCTTTCATCTTCAGCATTAAATATACTTAGTTCTGTTACAATGTTTTCTAAGAACTAGAAATGACACAAATTTAGACTAACACAGAAGTATTACACATCTTCTGTATATTTGAAAAGGAAACAAATATATTAATTCATTTTATAAAAGTATTTAATGTTTTAATTAAATATATCATGAATTAAATGCATTTTTTTCAAATTAATCAGATTAAAAAAGGAAAAAGTAATACTTTTAAATATAGCTTTAAACAGCTTAGTTTGTTAATCAATAAATTTGAAATACATTTTGTTGAACAGCAATAAAATAGAATGAAAAGTGAAACAATGCATTTACAATGGACGACATTTAAACTGAATCAATTCAAAATTGTGGTTTAAGACAAATAGACCTTTTGGGCTGTTTCCCACTTTTCAACATCATTAATTTATTTAATATTTATGAAGCAACAAAAACTTTTTATTTCTGAAGTCTCACAAATAAAAATAAAATGGACATTCATTAGGAACTGAAAGGAAATTTAAGCTCTTATTCATTAATTTTATTTCTTATTTTTAAATTGTTTTTTAAAAAAATACATGGCTTAATATAGTTAGAAAACCAAAATGCATGCCATTTATATGAAAAAACTTACACTGATGGTGAGAAACCAGCCATCTGTGAGACCTTTTGTGATGTAGATATACTCTAGAATAAAAAATATTCAGGAATAAGTAACAAGAAAATAATATGGAGAATAAAACAGATCGTGCAAGAAAATAAGTAACCCCCCCCCAAAAAAAACATGAAAAATTATGCACACTTAATAAATTTTAAAATTAAGAATATAAAAGCATGTTTCAAAAAGAAAGCTAAACTATTCCTTTAAAGTTAAGTAAAAGTCTAATAATTTGACATTTAACAACTTGGCAGGTTTTCTATAAACACTGCCTGCCATAATATGGTATCATTAACATCCCATTTAACAATATCTGGAAAAGCTCAACAGTTGCTTCACATCCTTTTGGCATTTCAGTATGTCCTTTATTTAACCCTTTCAGGACGGGCATCCCATATACGCATTCCTTAAGAACGACTCTTACTGCCGGGCATCCCATCCACGCATCAGTAAAGATCGCATTCAGAGGACGGGTGATGGGTATACGCATTTTAAGGTGGAACGTTTTTCTGAAGGCCACTAGATGGCATCCTGTGTCATTACTTTTGAAATGAATACAGTTTTAGGTTCCTGACCTTGAGTTTCATATATTCTACTTGACTTTGGTATTTTACTCATCAGCTGTTCAAGAGTGAGGGGAGGGGCGGAAGGAAAGCGTAAACAGAGGCTGGCTCTTTAAATCGCTGCATGCTAATGAAAACATTCTTGTATCTGATTTATATCCAATTGCTTTTTTTATTCTATTTTTTTCCTCTACTATGTATGGTCTTTTAGGGTTACTGTGCGGTCTTTTAGGGTTACTGTGCGGAGTTTTTTACATTTTGCATCGCCTTCAGATATATTTCCGTTCCTTCTTTTTTTATTTAAGAAAGCCTCAACTCCAGTCTATTATAGCGGGAAGGCGCTATTTATCAGAGGAAGAATATCCTAGTATGGTTAGTGAACCATTTAACTAACGCAAATGAGAGTACTGATTCATTTTCTAAAGAGTTAAAAAGTGATACTTTTTTTAAGAGTTACAAAGTGATACTTCTCTGTGCTTCGAGATTTACCACACTCGTTTTCATTTTAAATTTTGTTACTTCTTACTCTAAATAGCCTTTATTGTGTTCTTTTTATTAATTTTAAACTTTATTGATGGATTTTATCAATTAAAACTTTGGAATAATTTGAATAGTGCTTCCGAAAATTATTTTAGAAGATAAGCAATTTTTTAAGTATATTTTCATGTAAAATTAAGAAAAAAATGTTTTAAGGGCTAATTTTAACATATATAAGAGCTCAAGTAATAATTTAAAATTTTACCAAAAATTACGATGCTAGAAGCGAAACTTTTGTTTTTCTGATTTTTGTTATAAAATTAGACTTAGCGATGCAAAACCTCCATCCTGTATGGTGACTTCCTTCGATTCTCTTCTGTCCCGCGCCGTCGCGAAAAGGTTAAAAGACTGCCTTTATATATCATTTGTTTTCTTCATTTATTTAAAATACTTTTTAAAATTTAGTAAAAATGATGATATGAGAATAAAATAGAAATATATGACTAACAATTGACCAAAAGCTGGAAATCATTAATTGACTAAACAATGTAATGGAGGAATTTGGACTAGGCAATGATGACAGATACAATGTAAAGGAGGAATTTGGTATTGGCTGGAAATCATTAATTGACTACGAAAAGATGATGACAGAAGCACTGTAATAGAGGAATTTGGTATTGGATCTTCTAATAATAGCAAAAAATAAAAGCTACCTACGTTCCCGTTTGAGTCTGTACTTCGAAAGGAAAATCTTCTAAAATACTTAGCAAGTATTAAAAAAATCTAAGCTGGACAGGGTTTTATATCAGTGGTTTAATACACAGAGAACTGAAGGTAAGCTTGTAACAGGATCTGTGCTAGTAGGAAAAGTTAAGCACCCAAAGAAATGAAATTTCCAAGTGATAGCTGTTTTCAGACAGATTTTTAAAAAAAATAATAATTCTCTAAATTAGACACTTCAAGTGGACCAAAATCTGTTGATTAAGATACAGTGTAAATAAGCTAATTTTCAATGCTCTTCTTATAAGGACAACTTATCGTCTCATCATGTATTAAAAAATAGTCAATCCTTTATGTTATTGTATGCCAAATTCTACTTAGCAGAATGAAAAAAAAAATATTAACAAAAAGTTTTAAATTAAATAAGGCTAGGTCCACTATTTTATTTTTTGAAAATGTTTCTGGTCATCACAAACTTCTGTTTTTAGGAAATACACATGACTGCAGAGTTACCTGAAGAGCAGTTTTATCAACTGTAAATCATGCTTTCAAAAATTATTAAATGGTTTAAATGATTAGAATGAAATACTTGTGGCAGAGCTATATGACAATATAACTCTGTCAGAAGAGTATTAAATTAGAATGTATTGAATCCACACAACAAAAGAAATAAAGAGTGATGAAGATTCAACCTTTATCATTTGGCATGAGAACACTGAAGTGTTACATACATTTGTGTAATTTTTCCCCAAAAAAGCTAAATAACTAATCATGAATATTTATATTTTAGGAAGTAAATTTTTTTTCTGTTAAGAAACAGCAGAGTCTATAAAACAGGTGGGCATTCAAACTTTATTCGAAAACACTTGATGCACTAGCAATACTGATTATTTCAAAGCAAAATCTGTTTAAATATAATTATATTATTTATTAATTCATTTACTAATAAATTTCATTCATGATTCAAATAAAGTATGTAAAAAATTTTCATTCCAATATGTAATCAATTACATAGAAAAAATCATTTATGGCATTATATAATTTTAGTCTGATAACTGTAGATATTTGATAATTCAGCATCGCTTCAAGTCCTAACTGTTGCACATTATCAGACTTTTACCATATATGCAATTAAAAGTTGCAAACAAAGATGCTTTAAATATGTTGGTACTTTCAACTTATCCTCCACCCCCTAGAAAAGTCACAAAAAGTGTTCATGAGGCAAAGCAATATGACACCAAATTAGTTATGTGGCAACCTATGATACCACTAAAAAGTATTCATGTGGCAAACCAGGTATGCATATACACTGCGCAAAAAAAGGGGGGGACAGTTTTATATCTCCTGTTCTACTGGGACAACTGACTAAATTCAAATTCTGTTTTTCATGTCTCGAAAGCCCGACTTAGGATACATATTATATTTATATATAGCATTGTTCTAGCATACGTGTTTTGACACAAAATCGGACTTTTTCTGAAATAACACACCAATTTTTTCCATATTTCGATTCTACGACTCAAATTATGCCCAGATATTAAATTTTGTAGTTTTGGGAAAAAATTTACAGAGAAATTAAAAAATTTATCTTGGCACACTTTTTTTTCAGTTTGCATCAAGAATAATTCACTTGGCGAACTTCTTAATTTATAGCAACCTATTTTCCTTTCCTTTTTTTCATTCTACACTAGCATAAAAAAGTCATTGTTCATACGAGGGCCATCCAGGAAGTAGATTACGTTTCCGTCTGTGTCCGCTAGGGGCGGGGCTAGCGCGGCCATCTTGGGGTCAGAGCGTTGCGCAGCTCAGTCTGCATCTAGCCGTGCTAGTGAGAGGTTCGTGCTGTGCTCCGTTCAGATACTGTGACGGTTTGAAATGTCTGCGTTAATTGAAAATCCCGCGAGCTGCGAGGTGCGCTCAGTAATAAGGTTTCTGACTGCAAAAAACTGTAAACCGATAGAAATCTATCGGCAGCTTCGTGAAGTGTATGGGGACAACATTATCACTGAAGGTGGAGTGCGTCAGTGGGTCATAAGATTTCAAAATGGCCGAACCAATGTTCACGACGAAGATCGAAGTGGGAGACCCAGCATAGTGACCGCCGAACTTCTCGAAAAAGTCGATGCTAAAGTCCGTGAAAATCGAAATTTCACAATAACGGAACTTTCTTTGAGTTTTCCACAAATTTCGCGAAGTTTGTTGCACGAAATCATCAGCGAAAAGCTTGGTTACCACAAGTTTTGTGCAAGATGGAAGGCAAGAAGAGGTAAACGAAGTGGTTGAAGGCGCAGGCGGCCGAATTTTTCGACGAAGGAATTTCCAAGCTCGTACATCGCTACGATAAATGCCTTAATTTGTATGGTGACTATGTAGAAAAGTAGTATTTGAGTGTGGCTTTCATCTGTATATAATAAAATTTGTTTCCTATACTTTGTTTATTTTTTTATTCCAAAACGTAATCTACTTTCTGGATAGTCCTCGTACTTTCAAATAATTTTAACAAAATGCGTAAACCACATTTGGCATTATTATCACTTATAACAAATATGCCAAATTTCAAAACGTGCCAATATGTAAATTCATGTATATCTTAGGAAATTTTGATCAAAAAACTTAAATTTTTGCAAGTATGCTTAGAAATACATCTACTTTAAGATGATGGTAAAAATGCTATAGGTTATAATTCAAATATTTTTTGAAAAAATTATTTTAAATTATAAATTTTAAAATAAATCACAAAAAATGGGTGAATTTTATTTGGAACACCTAAATTTCGAAATGTGAAAGGAAGAATCAAATAAGTTTCATAAAAAAAGAGACATTAATAAATACTGTAAAGGCCCTTATTTTTGCGGGGCATAATTTTCGCGAAAATGAGTATATCAGTGATTTCGCGAGTTGAAAATTTCACGAATTTTATATGAACAGAATCAAGAGTTGAAAAATTTCAAAAGTGCCTAAGTAAAGTTCGAAGTTGAAAATTTCCAACTTTTGCATAAAGCATTTTAAGAAACTTCCTTTTGTCCGAAAAGTTCGTCCCCCCCCATTCCCGTTTAAATGGCGAGTTCAAGCATTTGCTCAAGAATGAGTTTATTGAGTGGTATTCTAATGAGCCTCAATTTTTCATTAGAGGAAAAAGAATCTGTGGACTTGCGAATATTATGACTAAAACCGATTCACGCATCTTGGCTTGTGCGCGTATTTAACGGTATTGAAGCCAAACATGAGATAATTTTGAATAGCTTCAAAGAAGCTGGTATAAATAGTATTCGAAGTGAATGAGCTGCCTTCTATTAATTTTATTGTTTTATATTTGAGAAATATAGTTTATTAGTAAGTGAAAAATTTCTGATTTTTTATTATTATTTGATGTGGAAAAAAAAAAGTATTTCGTGAGGCTTAAATTTTCTCGATTATGACGGGCTCACGAAAATTAAAGCCTTGCGAAAATAAGGGCCTTTACAGTATATACCAAATTCAATTAACAATGTAGAGCTAAAATTTTGAGAGCTAATTTTTTCAAAACTAATTGTGCGATTTTGACAAAACTTTGCACTTAGGCATAATTTGAGTTGTAAAATCAAAATAAGAGAAAAATTTGGCATGTCATTTCAGAAAAAGTCCAATTTTGAGTAAAATACCTATATTAGAACAATGCTATATATAAATCTAATACATATCCTAAGTTGACTTTCAAGACGTGAAAAACACAAGTTGAATTTTCGTCGATCGGCTCAGTAGAGCAAGAGATATAGAATTGCCCCCACCCCTGGCAATGTACATATATCTATTTTGACTGGTACACACTGAAGTTGTACAGAGCTAAATTTGTGAAATTGTCTGATTTTATTAAACAAAAACGACTGCTGTGTACAAAGAAAAAACAACAGGAAAAAAAAAAAAAAAAAGGTGGGGATTTCTTGAAAAAAGTGTTTTATTGATTATGTTTCTTGCTTTTTTAAATTTTGATTTATTGGTTGTTCTTATATGGTATTCTTAGTGCACCGCCATTTTGCGAATAGCTGTTGTGTTTTGTACATTAACTTGCTGAAAAACTAGTCATCAATGTGCTTGAGGATGCTCTCCAAAACTGCCAACAACTCTCTTGTAGAGAGTGCAGATAATCAGAAAGTACCAATATTTATTATAGTTTACATATAACACCTACTTATATCTTGTTTTGGATACATACATTACAAAAGGACATCTGACTACTTATGGTTACACAGAAGCATTTGTTACAATTTTTTAAAATAGCTTTCAGGAAATAAATACCTTTTTGTTTCCTAATACACTGGAAAGAAAAGTTAATTTCTCAGTGCATAGTTGAAGAAGACATTGAGAAGTTTTCAATATGGATTTTAGCCTCTGCTGAATTTCAGAGATCTCATTATGAAAGGGTTCAGACTGTCCAGAAACAAGTTCACCTCCAAAAAGATGATCTGACACATCTAACAATGTTTGCACTCTCACACAGCAGTTTTCCAAATGTTGTTTTAGAGCCTAGAAATGACATTTTTATGACATTATTTGCATGATATAAAGCCTGAAAGAAGTTAACAGCTAAAATACAGAAATAAATACACAACATCACAAATGCCTTTTTTAGAAATCAACTGACAGCTATCAGTTATACGCACTATTTATTACAAGAGCATTATAGTATGACAAAAACTACTAGTGAAATTTTCAATCAATATTAGCACTTACAAAAAATTCTGTATGTTGCTTGTGCAGAATTTCATTAGAAGCAGCAGAGGCTGAAGACATTGAGTCAATTTTTTGTTTTGACTCTTTTAACCATAATTCCATTTCATATATCGTATTCTGGAATTCAGAGCTTTGAATAAGTTCAGACTGTAATTTGTTTTGCCATGCCAGTGCAGCATTATACACTCTATCCCAATGGTCATTGACAGCCTGAAATAAAATTGAATTTTAGTTATATTTTTAGTGCATTTTATTGACTAGCAAATTATCTTGCATATAAAAGTATTAAACAGTTCCCACTGTGAAACAAAATTCATTAATTTAATGGCTCAAAACAAAACTCGGAAAAAATATTATTTGAAAATTTATGAAAAAAATTACTAATATTTATTTATCACTTCCACAGATTTTAAATGATTATGCTTTAGAAATGAAAAAATATGGTAATTTTGCTGAAAAGAAAGTCATTTTGCAACATTTTAATGAAATAAAAATAAAAGGGGCTAAAAGAAAAGAAAAAAAAAATAATAATAGTATTTAAAGATAGGTAACATATATACATGAAAAGGAACAAGAAATAAATATTTTATTAGATTTCTAAACAATTAAAACAAACAGCTAAGTATAAAAATAGCTAAAATGTGTCTTAAAAACCTATAGAAACATATCATCTCCTACGCATTTACCTTAATTCTTTCATTGACAGCTAATAATTTTTTGTGTTTTGAAGATGCCAGGTATTTCTTCCCAGTCATATTTAGATTTAATATAGTTGTTTTCCTGGACCATATCTGAGTAATCAGTTTCTATGAGAAGAATAAAGCAGTATAAAAATATGAATTACAAACTTGAAATGCAATATACAAAAGTATAAATAATGCATACACAATATCAGTATAATGAAATTAAAACAATTAAAAAAATTTTTAAAAAGAATTAAAAAAGCAATACAATTAATGATGTGAATACTGCATCATGAAGACTAAACACAATAATTTCAAAAATATCGAGAAGTAATATCATAATAAGTAATGTAATATCACAACTAATTAAAATTAGATTTAAATTATCTGATATATGTGCACAAATTACATCAATTCATTAGATGATTACTAAATTATACTTTGACGGATAATAAAATTGCATAGTCTGTTTAGAAAGTATGAAGTCATTTCTGTCCATCTGGCAATGCCAGCAATGATGCCAAAACATTAAATACATAATCAAGATAATCTTAGTCATCAAGATAGTTTTGCTTTTGTAAAGTATGCATAATTGAAATACAACTTAATGCTTTTTAATAAATGAGATGGAGAGCAATGTGCTAATGAAGTAGCCAACTACTATGTAGTTTTTACGATATGAGAAAAATGGAATCAAAATTCATAAAATATTAAAGCAGGTGCATGAAGAGTTTTATATGTAGCAAGCAGCATTATTTAAATGCATTAAATGTTTCCAAGAGAAACAAGCAGACAGACTGATAATATGCATGCAATACAACTTTCAATCTGTACTCTTTAATAAAAAGATTTCTCACACATTGTCTTTAAGGGCAGTGAAATCAATAGGTAACTGTTAGACTGAATACTGAAGAGATTAATTCTAAAAAAATAACTTCCACATGATTTTAGTCACGAAATTGTGAATGATAAAACTGTGTGAAAAGATAATTCTAAAATGTTTGATCAATGAACAAACACCACGATGATACGAGTGCTGTATTGACTATTTAAATCATGATTTTCTCAATAGCACAATTACAGGTGATGAGGCATAGGTTTAAAAATAAGTTTAAAATAATGAAGTTCAAAAGCAGACTGGAAGACAAAAGAAGAGTCACAAACAAAAGAATATCGAAGAAATATATCCCAAATTATGATGATTTTCTGGAAAGGAGGGTATTCATAAAATTGTGCTCTATGAACATGCTCAAGAAAGGCAGCCTATAAATGCAGTTTATTATACAACACCATCATTCTAAAGAGCACATAGTTCAACATGTATGACCACAGTTGCTGGAAAAAGCAGATGATTTTGCATCATGACAATGTGTCATAGTATTAGTAGTTGATAAATTTCGCCACAACAATTTAATCTGACATCCTCCAGTCTCCTGATCTAGTCACATCTCTCAGAATTTTTACCGTTTATAAAAATCAAAATGGAGTTGAAAGGGCAGCATCTGAAAACTGTGAAAAACATGAAGACAAAGGTGACGAAGCAGTTGAAAGACATATTAGTAACAGACCCATAGCACAAAATTCCAACAATGAAATTGTGTTTTAATAGTGGAAGATACTACAGTCAAATACCGAAAATCCGCTGGCCTGAAATCCGCATTGCCTTGCAGAATATAAACATTCAGTTTATGGGTTCCGGAAACCGCAACACTGAGTACGAAATATCAAAGAAAAAAATACTTACCGAATAATGACGTCATAACTACAGAATAATAATGAGTCAAAACGGAATCAACTCTTTGTTCAAGTTCATGATTCACGTTGTTGTATTTTCTAAGTTTTGTTATTTCATTTCACGAGATTGTTTAGCGCTGCCTTTTTTTATCCGGATATTTTGTGGATAAATTACGAATATTTTTAATTTCAGCCCTTTTTAATACAATGAGAGATAAGAAACGCACTCGTGATTTTACTGCTTGCACGTTGAAAAACGTAAAAAACACGTTGCATTGACGGTAACGCAAAAAGTGCAAATTCTGCAAAAGATGGAAGCAGGTGCTACTCCTCGATTTATAGCAGAATGGTATGGAATTGCGACATGATTGTGTATGATATATGGAAAAATAAAGAAAAGCTGTTGAAATTTTACAGCAAGAGTGATTCTAACACCAGAATTTGAAACCGGAAATCTTTGCACGAGACGAAATCGGCAAACCTTGATGCTGTGTATATATAATACAATGAATAATATAATCAGTTTATATATGTAATAATAATTTAATGCACATAATAAATTATTGCAATAATATATATAATAATTTAATTAAATGTATCTAATACGCCTTATTCATTTTGCACTTTTAGTCCAAATATTATGCTTTATCTTCTCTGTCCTGAAATTCACAAAATCCTAAAATCCGCACAACCTCTGGTACCAAACTTTGCAGATTTCTGGAATTTTATTGTATTTCAAAGGTGATATACTGGCATACATGAATAAAGCCAAATAAAAAAATTTTATGTACGAGTTCCCGAACTTTCTGGATAGGCTACCTATATTGGTAGCTAATCTAAACTTTTTAAAAAAAGCATTTAAAAAACATGCATCCTTCTGCATCAGAGTCAGCAGTAAATTCTTCAACAGCATAAAAACATTGCTACTACAGGGCGATAATTAAACTTCCTTTTTGATATTTATCAATACTTTTATAAAAATTAACAGCAGTATAATCCTTAATCATAGAACTCATGCTCTCATTTTACACTTTTTTTAATTTAAAGAAGAATTTGGAAATAGTCTTCATACTAAAAAAATAGGCAAAGTCAGGAAATGTTTCTGAAAAAAAATGCAATTCACAGTTCACTTTATGCAACAATATGTAACATCAATAATTTCTCAGGAAAACAAACAAAAAATTGGGATAGAAAGAAAAGTTTTTTAAGGGGGGATATTATTTTTGAAGGTGGTTGATGTATAAACTGAATATAAAAGAATGAAAGATGTTGAATATAAAAGCAAATAATAATCAGCTGAATACAAGAAGTTCCTAAAAACTTGTAAACTAATAAATCCTCTACTACACATACAATAGAACCTTGATTATTTAAGGTAACTAGAAGTATAACTACCTCAGACAATCAAAAGTTAATACAGACTAAATTTTAAATCATGCAAATTTTTCTTTCAATAAGGATTTTTGAGATTTTTTACTTAAAATTGTAAAAATAAGTAGATAAGTATTAACTACTATCAACATTTTAATAAATTCTTCTATTAGCAAATAAATTTGTTTCCTTAAAGGAAACAAATAATTCATACAGAATTTCATTTCATGATAAAAGTCTTCATGGAAAAAATTAGAATAAACAAATGTCATGAATATTTAAGTAAACGGCAAGACTTTTTGGCAAGTTTATCATGTACATTCTTATGATCCATTATTTTATTTATCCCTTAAAGAAATATATTACTTTTTTAGGGGGCAGACTTATTACTTTGTCAGCTGCTGCATCATCAGAAGACCTTTTTGATCAATGAAAGGTCCATAGTCAAAGTACGAGTATGTTGCCCTAAATATTAAAGTTCTTAGCTTAAGGCTTCAAAGCATGGACAGTTTTTATCTCAGCAACACTGTAATTGGACTGTTATGTTGCTTTCATTTTTAACCCAAGTAAAACATATGATTTATCATAATGCATAATAGGAAGTCATTAAATGATTCATCATAGATTAAATTAGAATATCAATTAGATTAGATTATTAAAAGATCAATCACTGATAAAAGAATTCTTAAATGTTGTTCATTTTCATTGTACCCTTTATAATGGCTGCTACATTTTCCCAATTATTTCATTAAGCTGATAGCCAAATCAATTAGACTTTGGTTGTTAGATGCCTGATTTACAGAGGTATACTATACTATGAAACTACAACTCTATACAAACACTACATAAAATTAATAAAACATGAATATAAAAGTCTTTCCACCACTGCAAGCTATTTACCTTATGTTTTTGTACAAGAGTAAGTAGTTTTTCCATGTCAACATCACCTTCTGTTTCAGAAGAATGAAAGTCAAGAGCAGTTTGTAACCATTTCTCAATTTCTCTCAAGTCTTTTGAAAACTGCTGCCATTTCTTGGTGTTTTCTGCAGCACGCAATTCTTTGCTCAATGTAGCTTTTTCAATTTGCTCCCAACGAAGTATCAACGCTAGAAAAAAGATTTTTTAAAATTACTAAAAATTAATGCATTAAAAAAAATTCTGCATTGCATTTGCCATCCAAGAACTACATCTTTCTACTTGCTTCTGATAACTTCCATAATAAAGAGATGATTTTTGTGTAAAATAATACCTAAGTAGCATTTTTAGGAACATTAGTCTTACTTTTAAACTCATTTCTGTCAAAATCTTCACTATATATATTTTATATGAAATGTTTCTATTATATATATAAAAAAACTACAGTCAAAAGTTGTTAATTCGGACACCCATAATCCGGAATGATCTATAATCTAGACTTCAAAGCTACAAACTTTCTGCGCATGCGCATGCACGTAAGACCTTTATGGCTGCAAATATGCGTGTGTGCATGCCCAAAATACGTTTACGCATGTGTGTTTAATGTATAACGAACAGTATAAGCTAAGCTAAAATTATCTAATTCAGTTAATGTTGCAGATCGCGTTGTTCCTTAATCTTTGAATTGGATCCGACTTATTATTTTTTGCAGACTGTTAGAGCAATTTTATAAAAGTAAGCTTGAACTTTCGATTATGTCAAATAGAATTTCCGATATATATTTACTAATATGTAAAGGATCTACAAAGCGAAAGTATGTTTCGAAGTCCATTAAACAAAAAGTGGAATTACTGCAAAAAAATGGATAAAGGCATATCCTTTGTTTATCTAACCATTCCGAAATCTGTTTATCAATTTCACGCTGCTCTGCGGTGGGGGGACACCGCGGCACGTAATGAATTGGAAGTTGATCTGTCAGCACTATCCTTATCTTCAGGGCAGATGTTTTTATTTTATTTGGCTTATAATTCCTTACTAAATATAGTATTTCATCTCGATGTACTCCATCTTTGATATGATTTAAATCAAATTCCTCGTCATTATAGTTCACTTCCGATAGCGAAGAAAGTAAAATAAACAAATAAATATTAAGCTTTTTTTTCTGTAAATTTTGATACCCTTTAGATCATAATTGTTCTTTATTTCATAAATTATGGTTTCATATTTTTAATTTTATAATTTCTGCATGCTATCTTACCAGATTTAAGCTGATGATCTATAATCCGGAAAAATCGATAATCCGGAATCGCCGAAGCCCCGACGAGTCTGGATTAACAACTTTTGACTGTATTATTATTCAGAAAGTAACCTTCTGTAAGGGCAAAAAGATTGATATAAAATAATTATTGGTTGCAAAATGCATTTAAACTGTATATTTTTTCCATATTTTTCTACCTCTCAGATTAAGGCATTTACCAAAATGGGAAAACAAGTCTTCCTATCTCTTTATCAAATAAAGTTGCTGCTTATGAGCAGAGGCAGCTCTTCACTTTTGATCAGATCCTCGTTAGAGCAGAATTGTCGAGTTCATTTTCACAGAATCTTCATTTTCACAGAAAGATGGAAATCACTAAGTGTTTAAGGAGATAAAAGTTGTAAGAAGAATGATGAAATAAATTCCAACAAACATTTTTGAAGCAATGATTGTGTTCGGTCAGATGTGTGAGGGCAGACATTACTCCAAAGAAACGTGGCAATTGATGACAATTTTTTTCATTTTTTCTCTAAACTTCTCTGTGAAAGTTTGCCCAAGTTCTGCAACATGGGAGGGACATCATAGTGGTTACAAATTCTATGGATTTATTACACACATTCTTTTCTGTTCTCTGATCAATACAGCCATTAAATTTTGTTTGAGAAAAATCTGCCTGAATTTTCATGATTTATTTCCCAGAATTTGCGTGCATCCACTTGTAACACTATTTTTTAGTTTCAAAACAGAAAACGTTTGCCCAACTTTTGTCACCAGTAACTAATAAAAAAAATAGTAAAAATATAAGCCTCTGCTCATAAGTAGCAACTTTATTTGATAAAGGGATAGGAAGACTTGTTTTCCCATTTTGGTAAATGTCTTAATCTGAGAGGTAGAAAAATATGGAAAAAATATACAGTTTAAATAATAAAAACCTAATAAAAAAAGTCTCCTCTGAAGTTGACGTTAGCTTAAAAACATAACATTTCCTATGGTTTTGTGCATTTCACTTAGCATTTTTGACATCTTGAAAAATTTGTCATAGCTATGTCTTTTTGGGATGATCATTTAGCATTATTTCAAAAACTCCAGAAATTCCAAAGAAAGCCCAGAGACTGCAAAATGATGCTTCATGCAAATGCATTCACAAACTTGTTGAATGAAATTATCAATCATTATGAAATGACGATTCATTCATCTTTGATATCCTTTATTACACATTTCAATCTGGTTTTGTCATAATTTTCTATACCGTTTTCTAGTACAACCCCCATTCATGAAATTCTTGCCAAAAAATGCAACCATTCTAAGGTACATCCCTCAATAACCAAAAAATGTATCATTGCTCAAGTCTCCATTTTGTGGGAGCACTCATGATGGTGGACATTTTTAGCTTGTTGCTCAGCATCAAAGACAAAATGAGCTTATACTGTAGAAGAATGATTCATTGCATTTGCTATATTCATATCCTAGTGGATTTTGTTGTTTTAACAAAATGACCATTAGTAAACAAGAGTTAAAAGATTACAACGAACTGCATATAAACAAAACGTTTTAAAATTACGTATGTCTAAAATCCCTGTTATTAACTTTAATGGATCTAAATAATAAATACATTTCACATACACCAATCTAGAAAAAGACTAAAATACTAACTTTCAGCTTGGGCATATATATGCTTCACATTTCTACTCCTGTTATTGGAAATATCCTCAAGCAGAAGGTGACTCAAATGTTGTATAACATCCATGCTGGATCGACAGGCAGCTAAGAGACGTGACTGGAAATACAGATTTTAAAGCTCAGAAATGAAAGCTGTAGTTTTATTAATTTACTATAATATTCATATCAAAAGCATAGCTAGATGACTGAAGGAAACTTTTAATGATACCAATATTAAGTTTAATACGGAAATGTTGTATTACATACATTTATATATTATAGATATTAAACAATTCATAATCCTCAACATGTTAAATCTAATATAAAAGCACTGCTATATATATGCTTTTGCTAATCTTGTATACAGTACAAAGTCTTTAATCCGGAATGATCTATAATCCGGACCTCAAAGCTACAAACTTTCTGCGCATGCGTAGCATTTATGCATGAGCATATGCATTTACACATAATACCTTTGCGCATGCGCATAATAAGTTTACGCATGCATGTTTAATGTAGAACGGACGGTATAAGCTAGGCTAAAATTATCTAATTAGCTATTTCAGTTAATGTTTCAGATTGCATTGTTCCTTAATCTTCTAATTGGATCTGGATTATTATTTTTGCGGACTGTTAGAGCAATTTTATAAAAATAAGTTTGAACTTTCGATTATGTCAAAAAGAGTTTTCGATTCTGGATCTCCCAAAGGATCTACAAAGCGAAAGCATGCTTCGTTGTCCATCAAACAAAAAGTGGAAAAAAATGAATAAAGGCATGAAGAAAGTGACAGAGACGTTAGTGAAAACAAAAAAATTTCGATTGACAAGTTAGTCGGTATTCTCGGCACAGCAACTACAGGACTTGAACAGTGGAACTTTGTAACTGAACAAGAAATTATGTCTGTTTATAGAATTAAAGAGAAAGTATTAGCACATAAAACAAAGCAACTTAAACAACTTACATTGAAAGAAATGACTAATAAAGTAAACAAATAAATATTAAGCTTTTTTTTTTGTAAATTTTGATACCCTTTAGATCATAATTGCTCTTTATTTCATAAATTACGGTTTCATATTTTTAATTTTATAATTTCTGCATGCCATCCTACCAGATTTATATTGATGATCTATAATCCGGAAAAAACCCTAATCCGGAATTGCCGAAGTCCCGACGAGTCCGGATTAAAAACTTTGTACTGTACTATACAACTATGCACAGAATGAAAGAATTGTATTGTAGCTTACAAAATTAGGGCCATGGTCATCATCATCAATTCCACTTGGAGTTAGCTCAGACAGCACGATCTCTAATGCATCCATTCTCTCTTCGGCCTCCTTTAAAGCAGCCACTAAATCTTTTATGTACTCTTTTGCTCTTTCATCTGACACATCTTGAAATCCTAAATTACAAAATTATACATACATACATACATACATATATATCACAAAGAAAGTGAGAAATTAAAGTCCTCACATCTGATTAAATACTTATAAGCCTATAATAGTGATTAATTAAGTCAATTGAATGACATCTCAGTGTGCAATGTTTATCATAAACTGTACCGAACTAGTGAAATACTATTCTTGCATTTGATCTTCTGTTATTAATAGGGTTTGGATTATATCTGTGGTTATAATTATAATTTCATCTTCAAATTCATAAATTGCTCTGATGAGTCTCAACACAGTGTAGTGAAGTGCAATTACAATCTATATGAAATAGGTGATAACTGGTCTATGAAGGCCAACTAGAAGTACACTTAACTTTTTCATAAATTTTTTTTAATGTTTTGACAACTGAAATATTTACTCTACTTAGTAAATGAATTTAAAAAAAATAATATTTTAGTGTATTGAAGACACAGTTACTTTCAAAATCACACTTTATATTTCAGTAATTTTCCTCAATAACTTCAACTCTCTCAATGAAAAAGGTTTAGTTAAATACTTTCTTGTTTCCCTCTCTTCTCAATTTTTAATTTGGATATATACTGCTGGCCATTAAAACTGCAACACTATGAAGAAAAGCAAATACAAAAAAGATACTCATTGTACGTAAACAGTACGGCATGAAGACAAAATGATAAAAATTTGTAAGCAGTTTGGGGGTGTATACAGGAGTGAGAAATTAGTAGAAACAGCTGCCATCGCTGGCAGTCAAAACGGCCCTTACACAGTTAGATATGTAGTCAAACTGGGCTTGGACAGGAACAGGCAGCTCATTCCATGTTGCTTCAAGTTTATCCCACACTTCATTAGCCATATCAGCTGGAGACAGGTGGTGGGCCAGTCTCTCAGCAACTAATGACCAGATATTTTCAGTGGGTGCAGACTGTGCAGGCCAGGGCAGCAATCAAATATCCTATGCATCGAGGAAGGTCAAAACATGACATGCAACATGTGGTATTAAATTACCTTGTTGGAAGATGGCGTTTGGCAGGCCTCGAAAATAGGGCACAGCCACTGGACATAAGACCATAGAAATGTACCTGTCTGCATTCAAATTACTGTTGATCCAAACTAGAGATGTTTGTGTCATGTACCCAGCGAATGCCCAAACCTTCACACCAGGTGCAGGGTCCCTATGCTGATATTGAATGCAAGTAAGTGGCATGTGGTCTCCTCGGAGCCTCTAGACAGGTATATGGCCCTCAGAATACTGCACACAGAACCAGGACTCGTCTAAAATAAAGAAATTGTGCTACTAGTGTATCCAGCTTTGTCATTACTTGCACCAGAGTCACCGTCTCTACCTATACTGCACTGTCGAGGGAACCCGAAGTAATGGTCGCTGTCCTGATAGCCCATGCTGCTGCAAACATCAATGCACCACACAAGTGGATAGCCCATTTCCTGACTAATGGTCTGCGATGTGGTTGTATGGTTTTGCAAGGCTGACCTCACAATCTGTCTCTTCTTGGGCATTAGTCATGGGGTTGTTGAGATCCTGCATGCCATTCAGTATGACCCTCAGTTACCCATTGATTCCATACTCGCATGGCAGTGGTTGGATGTCGAATAGTGTGACGAGCAACATCACAGAAAGGTTATCCACACTCTTGAAAGGCGATGATCCTGCCTCCATCGAATTCCAACATTTCTTCTTAGTCGAGGCTTAACGCCATATTGAGCAAACTCCGACCTTACAAAGCGCTTTCCAAATGAGAAATCCACTACACAACTTTTCTTTATGCAGTGCTTCAGATGTCATTTCTCTCACCTGCATCATCTAAATGTGCTGAAATACTAATCATTTGCATATCTCAATGTCTTCTTCCTTTCATGTGATTTGGATGCTCATCTGATCATTCTATCCTGGTGTTGCAATTTTAATGGCCAGCACTGTATTTTTGTCAAGTATAATTCATGAAACTTTTGCCTTAGAAATATATTCAAGCTCTTTATTTTTAACTATTTAGCTGTTTTTATTTCCTTTCTGCTTTGGGAAACGATATTTTATTTTCATCGTCTTTTTAAGACAGCTATTTTAATTTTTAAATCTTGACTTCTCATTAAAAGCAAAATTTTGAAAACAAAGATTAAAGTAACCAACTTTAAATATGCAATTTTTTATAATTCATTGAGAAATTAAAGATTATTTTTTATACTTGAGCAATGATACCTATAATTCTATCCCATATTTTAGACATGCCTGTAATTTAAGCATTAGTTTTTATCACATTTTATATAATATTTTCTCTTAAATGTCTTAAATTTCATTCACAGTTCATGCATATACATCCAATTAATATAGAGCATTAATTAATCCTGAGCAATCTTCAAGTTCTTCAGGGTTAATTAATCCTGGTTATTTTTCACTTGTTTGCTATATTTCTATATGAAGTAGCACATGTTAAAAAATATGGCTCCAATCTACCTTTCCTTTGCATATTAATTCTTTGCTAATCACTGTCCTGAAAGGAATCTCCAAGAAATATTTTTGCATCATCAGTCTTGTCTAAGAAATCAAAAGATGTGAATTATACAACCTTCTTAGTTACTTACAGAAACTACCATAAGCTGCAGTGTTAAATCAGTCTTATTGGTCATGATTTAATAATAGAAGACCTGAACCGATGATCTGAAATTATGATTATGGAGACCATAATGAGTGGAGCAATCACCACACTATTTATCTGTGCTTTGAAATTTTGACTATCTGAAAAAGGATTAGACTATTCAAATTACGGCAAAGCAGATGAGGGTATCTGTCTAATGTAAGGGAGTCCCTTGTCCCTACAAGGAGAACTAATTTTTTTAAAAAAAACTGTCTCATTTTCATGTCACACGTGGGTGAAAACATGATCCTCCCAAGCCACAGCTTGTTCATCAGAATATGAATTCTGGATGAACTTCTAGCACCTAGCAATTTGGCTCCTGATGAGCCCCAGAGAATTGAAATCTATCAACTGGACTCAAATTTGGAAACATTTGTTACAAGACAAATATTTTAGCAATTGACACTAAAAGAGACTAAAACTGTAGGCCTAAGGATATTCTTTCAGCTACTGAGCAACTTATTTGCATTACTGGAGACTGATAAATCTATCAGTCAAAGGAAATTAGTAATGAATCAAAAGTACTATATTTCTAATGTTCATTTTTCCCCAAAAGCCTACAAGACTAGATAAGCTTCTCACTTTATAAAATTCACAATTAGCATCAATGGGAACTGAACCACATCAATTATATACAAACTGGAAAAAAAAAAGAATACAATTGAAAAAATTATGAGAAGTAGGTGCAAAAGTGAACAAATTAGTATTTTGAGGTGTGGATAGGATAAATATAAAAATTTGAATATGCTATAAAAGTTCTATACTAATATTGTTTTCAAAAACATTTAAAAAATAATACAAGAATTCTCACCTTTTACTTCAGAAACTGCAACATTTTCTCCTACAAGACTTCTAGAATATGATAATTTTGGAGATTCTACTTCAGCATTATCAACAGCTTCCTTTAACTGGCAGATTCCTTTTGCTAAGGTTTCCTGACTTCTAGTCTGATCTGTAAGACATTCAGTATGCTGGGTAGAATTATCTTTAACTTGCGAAACTTCTTCCATACTTTGACTAGTTATAATACAGTTATGACCTTTAAGTATATTTTCTTCATTTCCACCCATTAATGAAGATTCACCATGCTCAACAATCATCTAGGAAACATACAAATACAGTTGATAAATAATAACTAAATTTCATTCACATATAAAATTATATTAATTCTCACAGCACAAAGTCTGAAATCTGGACATATCCAGAACAGTCTAATACCTGAATCATTCCATCGTTCCACCCACCCACTCACACATGCACCCCTCCCCCCCAAAAAAACTATTAAGTCTAAGAATGGAGAACATAATATTCACCAAAAGAAAAAAGTTGTACTTTAAATGTGATTTTTCTCCTGAGCAACTGAGATTTCTATATGTCACATTCAAACACCTGCTGGCTATGGAATCACATCATGGCCAATGACAATACATTTATTGGCGTAGGCCACGATCTTACTTTCAACCATTGAGTTGTGAAAAAGTTAGTAGTTTTTTATCTGACCTAAATAAATAAAATCCCAGTGTTGTCATACCATTATACTAGATTTAAACTTTATCATTCTGGATTTAAATTAAAATCCAGAAATTTCTGAAATCCCAAAAATCCTGACAATTCTAAAACTCAGACTTTGTAATTTATATACACTAATTCAATAATTATTAAAATTAACTTAGTTGAAAACATTAGCTGCATGTGAGTAAGCACGGTTGTCTGAAGTCTTCATTATCTGGAACTAGAGATGACATTTTTATGTGAAAATTAACATATTGACATCACACATAATACAGAAGTGAAAAGGAATATTTCTACAGTTTTTTGGAGAGAAAAATGGTTAGTAACACATATAGTATGCATTATTAAGTGATTTAATATATATTACTAAGTGGCAGTCTGGAAATAAAAATGAAAAATAGATGTTCCTTTTCATTTTATAATTCTTCTACTGTAACATGTTTTTATTCCCATTATTTTTAATGCATGTTTGCCTGTAATTAAAAATTTTTATGCAAGGATATGAATAATCAGAAATACCTTCCAGATATCCTGAAAATGTATTTCACTACTGCTTATCATTATAATATTATTGGCAGATTTGATTTCAAATACATTTCATAATTTAAAAGCAATCAGTTAGATTAAGAGATAGCAAATATAAAAGACCTTAGTACATAACAAATATAAAGAACTTAGAACATAATTTGGTGACTTTTGAAATATTCACAGAAATTTCATCAATTTTGCAAAATGTTAGCTAGGCCACTTTTGAATCTCAACTCTGGCATACATATTTGAGATTCTAATGCTTTTAGAGCGCATTTAAAAATCTATCAAGCAAAAACCCTCTTAACTGCTTCTCTGCTCAATAAATTTCAGAAACTATCAAAAAATTGTCTATTTTTTAAACTATAAAATTTGAGAGAAAATTAAATTTTTAGATGAATATGCAAAAAATCGTTCAAATGTCAAAAAATAAAGTATATAGACAGACCAGACATTCTAATACAGAGGAAATTCTGGCCTGAGGGGGCAAAATTTTATAGTTTCAGGAGAGGAATGCGGTCAACCTTTTATTTACATATTACAGTCAAAAGTCTTTAATCCGGACTCATCGGGACTTCGGCGATTCCGGATTATAGATCATCAGTTTAAATCTGGTAAGATGGCATGCAGAAATTATAAAATTAAAAATATTGAAACCGTAATTTATGAAATAAAGAACAATTATGATCTAAAGGGTATCAAAATTTACCAAAAAAAAAAAAAGCTTAATATTTATTTGTTTACTTTATTAAACATTTCTTTCAATGCACGCGCATGCGTAAAGCATACATTACGCATAGTCGAAATTAGAAAATTGCAACCAGAAAAAACTATTTGATGTGTATTCGTGATATTTATAATGAAGAGGAATTTGATTTAAATCATATCAAAGACGAGAGTACATCGAGATGAAATACTACATTTAGTAATGAACTATAAGCCGAATAAAATAAAAACATCTGCCCTGAAGATAAGGAATAGTGCTGACAGATCAACTTCCAGTTCATTGCGTGCCGTCGTTCCCCCCCCCGCAGAGCAGTGTGAAATTGATAAGCAGATTTTGGAATGGTTAGAGAAACAAAGGATATGCCTTTATCCATTTTTTGCAGCAATTCCACTTTTTGTTTGATGCTTTCGACATGATACATTGACAAAACGAAACATGCTTTCACTTCATAGATCTTTTGGCAGCTCCAAAATCGTAAATTCTTAACATAATCGAAAGTTCAAGCTTACTTTTATAAAATTGTTTTAACAGTCTGAAAAAAATAATAAGCCGGATCCAATTAGAAGATTAAGGAACAACGCAATATGCAACATTAACTGAAATAGACAATTAGATAATTTTAGCTTAGCTTATACTGTTCGTTATACATTTAATGCGCATGTGTAAACGTATTATGCACATGCATAAACACATACGCGCTTGCATAAAGGTTTTATGCGCATGCATCAACGCATAATGCGTTAACATATGCGCAGAAAGTTTGTAGCTTTGATGTCCGGATTATAGATCATTCCGGATTATGGATGTCTTTGAGTGTATTATTATTTATTTATTTAGTTTATGAATGAGAAAAAAAACTATTTTTATTCAAGTTTCAGTATTTATCAACATTCTCTATAATTATTTAACTTATAAAACCATTAAACTATAATCCAGTTTAAATGAATGTATACGTACTTTTTGGAGTTTTGGAAGAGAAAAATGGAATAACTGTCTACCAACAGTGTGAGGGGTGCATGGGGCAAAAAAGGTTGACAGCTATTGATATAGACAAAAATTATAACTATCTGTAAATACTGGCTTTCTGTGCACATGTAAGCATAAGTAGTAATCTTATTTTAGATAAAATACCCTTGTAATACTGGCTTTTTTAACACAAACAACTTTAAGCCAAAATTTAACTTAAAAGACTTTTTTACATACCTTTACATTTTGTATTTATTACACAATTGAAAATTTTAGTTATAATTTAATATTTCAACTCAGTACGATTGATTTATCTTAAAGAAAGGAATGGTACAGAAAGGAATTTTTTTATATATATACTTTAAAACAAGGAACAAAGTTAAAACATCTAAATTACAATAATATAACTTAAAAGCTGTTTTATATGCTTTTAATAATAAGATTATAAAAGTTTATTAATGGGTAATAAAGCTTAATCAAAGGAAACCTTCAGCAAATGCAACACAATGCAAGAAAGCAGATGTTTCACCATGAAATCAATAGGGAGAGGGGGGACGTTTTTTTGATCAGGTAATACCATATAGAAACAGAAAAGTAAACTAAAATAAATATGCTGGTTTCCAAAATTTAAGAAAAAATCACAAAAATAGTGATAACTCCCCCAAAAATATGCCAATCCATATAAAATTTGAATATGTTGTCAAATAAGAGGTGTTGAATAAAACTGAAGTATGCAAATTAGGGAACTGTCATACTGACATAAAAAATCTGGGATAGACAATTCATAACAATGACCTCCAGGCATCATTTGCTTGAAGAACTGCAATGGAGAGCTGATGGGAGACACAGTCAGACAGAAGTAGTCAAATGGCTAATTGCAAGTCCTTCTGTAGTTCACTGACTTAGGAACAATTTCTAACCACAGATTTGGTATCCAAGAGGTTCAGCCAAGGACAGCCAACTCCTAAAATAAGTGCTGATGACCGTAATTTGTTGTTATGTGTATGAAGGAATAGAACTGCATTTCTGACTCAACTCAAATCCTCCCTTGCTGCAGCCACCAGAAGGTTGGTGTCACCGTCAAATGTACATAGAATGTTTCACGAAAGAGGTCTGTATGTGAGGCAAGCTACCATTTGTGTGCCGCTTGCATTGCATCATAGAGGGGAACATCAACATATCCACTGGATGGCTGAGCAATGGAAGGTTGTTCTCTTTATGGATGAGTCCAGGTTTAGCTTCCAAAGCAACAGTAGGTGTTACCTGATTTGGAGAGGACATGGACCCCATTATCATCCATCAAACATTCATGAAAGAGATGCATATGGAGAGGGCAATGTCTGTGTTTTGGGTGGTATCTCTCTGGGTTGGATGCACAGACCTCCATGTCTCTCCACATGGAGCTGTGAGTGCTCAGGCCTATAAAGATGACATCCTTGATGCTTATATGCACCCATTCTATTGAAAAAAAATCTATTGGTTCCAAATATGAGTAACAAATATATATAAAATATATCTTTTCAGCAATGCACAAAATGAAAAGACAGTTTGGGGACATTTTAGTTCTTATGGATATCTTCATAAGAACTAAATTCAACTAATCTTGAAATATTTCTTTATGTTTAATTTAAATAAATTTAAGACATAATATGAAAAAAATTATCCTGAGCATGAAAAAGCTTCATAAAGGAAAGTATGAGCATGTTGATGAGCTTCAGTAAACAGTTGTACACATATTTCAAGTGCCAGTCTGTAGAACATCTCTGCAGATGTAATGAATGTAAAGGAAGAATAGCTGTATGCTGCTCATTAAAAACTACAAAGAGGAGAAAGAAATGTATTTTTCTCCAGAGAACTTTGAAATAAGAGTATGAAAACTAATTCTCATAAGTGGCTTTAATGCCTAGAAGGATCATAACAACTAGCAGAAAAATGAAAGCAAATGGGATTTGGATTTAAACACAGTGAACTATATTTAAGACAAAATACTTAGTTACTTTTATAATTGTATAATATCTGTTTGCATTTCAAGAATTTAATTTAATACCTTCTATACATAAAGTGGATTCATAAAACAGCCAAGTAATGCATACAGTCTCTTCATAGCTGCAATTAAGTCAAGTTTTTCATAGATTTTGTAAGACAGCAAAATTACAAGGCCATTTAAATGAAAAGGAAACAAACTATATGCTTTAACTATCTTAATACAAAGTTTCAGGTATAAGAGAACTATTATTAAAAATCAGGACTAATTTTTATTATAAAACAAATGATCAGCTAAAAGAATACAGAGAATATATTTTTGTTGTACTATGTTTCTTTTGCATAACCACATTCACTTTAAAAATTAAACAAACAAATAATTTTATTAAAATAACAATCATATTCAAAAATGACAATTTATATAACACACTCACTTTTTTATGATCTTCAGAAGTGGACTTGAATTTTTTAAGACGATTATATAATTCTTTCCAGTATTTATAAACTTCATCGACATCTGAATTAAACAAAGAAACCGAACATTCACTTTGCTTTTTAAGATGGCAAGACAAATCAACAAACCTCTGATATTCATCTTCATGAGTTTTGAATTCATTCTAAAAAATAAAGATTCGTTTCTAATATCAGTCAATAAATGTAAACAGACTAAACAGTAAAAAATGAAGTAAAAATGTTTTAAAAAAATACAATAAAGTGAACGAAATGTAATAAATTTTTTTTAGATTATACATTTGCCACCCAGACAGTATAGTGGTTAGGGGAGCCAGCTGCAATACTGAGGAAGGCCTGGGTTTGAATCCCGAAGAAGGCATGGCTGAAACTCTCCATCCCTTCATAGGAGGCAAAGGTGGCCCACCTATTAGGTGCCTCAATAATAAAGTGACCATCACTTCTGGCCTTAGTAGTGGCCAAGCCGAAATCAGCTGAGGGCCCGCCATTGATAAAAAAAAAAAAATTACCGTATTTACGCGAATCTAATGCGCATCGTTTTTGGCCAAATGTAGTATTCAAAATTGGGGTGCGCATTAAATTCGATGGCGCATTAGATTCGAGTGCAAAGTTCGCCGATGACGTCAACCAAATTTCTCGACTACATTTACCGTTACATTTATCGTTGACACATTATTGCATAGAGGATACAAACTGCAGAGTACGTAGTCACGAAATGGAGGGCAAACAGAGAAGAATGTCATATGACGCTACTTTCAAACGTAAAGTAATTCTTTATGCTGAAAAAATGGCAATAGAAAGGTAGGGAGAGAGTTCAACGTAGCTGACAGCAATGTTCGCTTGTGGCGGCAACAGAAATTGGCACTGTTTGCAACTAAAGCTAGTAGAAAAGAAATTCACTGGCCCTCCAAAAAGGAAGATCTTTGTAGATCTTTGAAGATCTTTGATGTAAAATCTTTCAAGAAATGCTGCATTTCAAATTCCTTGATGGCAGTGAAGATGACGTGCTCTGGAACGCCGAGGATGACGATGACGATGATGAGGAAAGAAGAAATGAATCTGCTTCTGATGAAGAGAGCTGCGAGGATTCCAGTGATGAAAACATTAGTGAATAAAGAAGTTTACTATTAAGCACTGATTGTAGAAACTATTAGCTAGATAGAAATGTTACGATTTATTTCATGCTCATATTTTACGATAGGTACCGTATATACGGTACTAATAACAAAATACTAATACGGTGCTAATTAACAATGATTGTTTCACATGACAATAGCCACTAATAGGTTAAAATCTATGTTCTGCTACTGTATGTATAAGCCATTGTTGTATAAAAATATGGTATCTAAATTTAAATAAAATTATCATACCACCATTATTGATAGTTTATATACAAATCCATGTTGTATAAAATAAGATTCAATAATTCCTCATATCATTGATGCGCATCACATTTGCCGCAAACAATTTTTTTATTATTAGAGTTTTAAATGGGATGCGCATTAGATTCGATGGCGCATTAGATTTGCATAAATACGGTATTTTATGTTAAAAATTAATTTTCCTGGCTATCTTAATAAAAATATTACTAGGCACATATATAATAGCTATTCAAAAAGGAAGAGTAACTTGGTTTGCAAACGCAAAACTCTAACCTACACTATGCTAACACTCCCCCCCTATCAAACATCTCAAAACTCACCTCCCCATCCCCCAACCTCTACCTCCATGTTCCAACACTCCTCCCGTGCAAAACTCCACTCCCCCTGACTCTCCCCGTCTAAACTCGCACACTTCCAACTAAACAACTTCTTCCTAATCTCACTAATACCTCACTGACTCCACTCATCCTCCCAACCAAACGCTTCCAACAATCTTTGAAACACTACCGATCGATCCACGGAGAAGAAAACACTTGCCGACTACCTACCCACCCCGCACAATACTTCCCCCGCCCCCCCCTATCACTACTAAACGTATCACCGTCCCCCTCCTCAACACAACCTGTCAACGGGGAAGATCCCCCCCCATATCTCTTCCAAAAAGCCTACCCACACAATATCCACCTCGAACACTCCCCCCGCGTGCTGCACCTACAGTCCCGCCACCAACTTGGCAAGCCGGCCCCCTCACTAACCCCCCCCACATATCCCCCCCCCCCCCCCCAACCTGACACCGAAAAACTCACCAAACCGCTCACTATCCCCCCCTCCCCCCTATCGCAAGAAAACCTCTGTCCTCCTCTCCAAACCTTCCTACCCAACTCAACGATCCACATTCCCTCACTTCACTCCTCCACGAGAATCCCCAACAACTTAACTCACATCTGAAACGAAACACTCCTATCTCCACCCTACCTGCCTCCCCCCACTAACTTTCCCCCCCCCCCACCCCCCCCTAAGAACTCCCTACTCCCCCCGCCGTAAACCACTCCCAACTCCCCCCCATCTCCATCCCTCTCCCCCCCCCCCACCACAACACTCACCTACACCTCAACGGTCCCCAAACAAACTACTACACTCCCCCCCGAAACCACCACCAACTCCCTTCCCCACTGCAAACACACCATAGCTTGATCCCAAACTGCACTAACTGCCCATCTACTTTCCACCTCACAGTCCCCCCAAGTACTCACGTCGAGCTCCGCATCCAACAGACCCTCCCCCCCGCCGGTCACCCCACCCCCCACCACCTTCCCCCAAAACACATCAACTGCCCCCCCATCTCTGAGAACTCTCCCGATTGCCCTAATTCCCAACACACACACACTCCCGCCTTTCACCAAATTCCCCCAACTCCCCCCACGTAGGATAGTCCTGTCCAACAACGTAACCTGTGCCCCCAACAAAACTAATCCAACAGTCAAAGTCCCCCCACATCGTAACCTCCCTCCCTCTCCCACCCCCCCCCCCACAACGTACGTCCACCCAACACTTGGGTTAGCTACTTCGTCCCCGGCCCCAACTTATGCCACCTCCGGTCTCTTAGTCCCATACCCCCCCCCCCCGAGAACCGAAGCATCCCCCCCCCGGAGATACGCCCCCACCATAGCCCTGGACACAATACCTCCCCCCAACTACCATCCCAACTCGACATCCCGTCACACGTCCCCCCCCCCCCTCCACCCTTCTCCCAACTCCCCGGCCCACCAGCTCCCCCCCCAACTCCCAACTACCTGCCGTCTCCAACGTCCCACCACGAACCATTAGAACCTCACGCCTCCAAACTCCTAAACTCCCCATCTACGTCAACTACCATCGACCCCTACTCGCCCCAGCCCACACCTCCCCCGCGCGGGGACGGCGACGTAGATCCCGCCTCCCCCCCACCCCCCCCACCGTCCTCCCACCTCCCCCCGACGGGGGCTCCACGTCCTCCTCCCTGCCCACCCTCAGACCTTCGAAACTACAACATCAGTAACCCCCCCCCGCCCCGACGCTCGTCCCCCCCCGAACGTCGCAGCTGCGACTTCTTTTCACGACAACTCAGACAACAGACTTCCCCCTCACCTAACTCACCGCCCCCCACACTGGGCCCATCCCCCCCCAACCTCGCGCGACACGTCCCATCCTTCTACCAGAACGGCCCCCTCCTTACTTACCAAACCCTCCCCCCCACCCCCCCAACTCCCCGTACTTCCCTCCCTCACCAACATTCCCCCCCCTCACCTCCTGAGCTCCCCTCCCGTCCCACCGATTTAGCGTCAACGCAAACAATACAAAAGAGTACCCCACCACGATAAACTTCCCCACCAGTCCCCCCCCCCACCCGACACTTCCCCCCCTCCCCCCGCCCGGCAACAGTCCCCCCCTCCACTCGCGCTCTCCCTCGGTCGTACTTCCCCCTCGTCCCCCCCCCCCCCCCCCCGTCCCCCCCACCCAATTCTGTGAACACTTACAGTTAAAACTAGCCCGCACCTCACATCCCCCCCCTCCGACGCACCCCTGACCCTTCAAAAATTCTCAGCCCTCAAACCTTAACCTCAACCCGTACCGTCCCCACTCCCCCACTCGCCCCAACTCCCACGGTGTACAATAACACCTCCTGCCCACATCCCCCTCGCCCCCCAAATCCCCCCCCCACATTCCAACATCAACGCTGCAGTACCGCTCCCCAAAACACTCCATACCAAAATCCGAGATCATCAACCTCCGCATCGTCCCCCCCCCACCACACATCACTTCCACTCCCCCACCCCACATCCGCAATTCCCCGCCCATCCTTCCCCCTCGACCGTCGAGTCCAACATCCCCCCGTAACAACATCCCCACGAGTCCCGCGCCCATACCACATTAACACCTTCCCCCCCTCTAACCACTCCCCCCCCACTCAGCCTACACTCGCCTCAACAACTCCCGCCTACCCTCACCCCTACGTGCGCCTTCCACCTGTGACACTACACCTTTAGGCTAACTTCCCACATCCCCGCCAACATCCTTCCTAACACGGTCCCACAACGATCCCCCCCCCCCCGACCCCTTCAAACGTAATGCCCCTCCCCGTCCACACGTGCGCAAGTCAACACACTGGTACAATCCCCCACCAAGCCTCCTCCCCCCGCCCCCACTTGCCAGTCACCACGTAGGGCACTTGTGACTTACACACCGCAGCCCAACACCGTTAAATTCCGCATCAAACTCCAGCACACGAATCCCCCCGACCTCTGCCCAACGTGCAGCCAACGGGGTAAAACGCGTCCTCCGCCCCCACAACCTAACTCCCCAACATCCCCCCCTTGTGACAACCCGCCTAACAATAAACGACAAAAACTCGGCCTCGCATCCCACAACTCCCCGCTTCCTTCCAACGTACTAACCTGACTTCTTTCAGAAAAGGACTCCACCTCAGCGCACGTACCCACTTCACCCCAACCCCAACACTCCCCCACGAACGATTCCCCTCCTTCAACACTCCCGCCCCTACACTAACAGCTCCCGTCGTTCACTCATGCCCCCTCGCTTCCCACATCCCAAGACACTCACACATCACGGGCCCCACACTCACCCACACTCCCACTTTCCCCCCCCCCCCCCCCCATCCCCCGTGCCTACATAACTCCCAACTATCCCAACCCAACTCCAGTTATCCCCGACACCTCCCCGTGTCCCCCCTACCCGTCCATCCCCAACTTCTCACCAGACAACCTTTCCCCCATTTGAAACAACTCCACCACCACTATCTATCCTTCCCCGAACTCCTCTCAATCCCATCCTCGCCCCCTCCTAAATTCCTAACGTACTCAAACCTACTCCTCAACTCCCTGACAGTAAAGACGGGGTCCCCCGAACCCGGCTTCCCCCCCCCAAACGTCAGCCTCCCCGCCCCCACCGTGACATATTTCACCTCCCTCCCAACACTCCCCCCCCTCCCCATACCCACATAACTACCACTTCCCCACCCCACCTTCCCATCCCAACCTAACCCCCGACCCTCCCCAAAGTAAGAACTCGAAACCCCTCCAACCGAATCCCGCGCCCCCACCTAAGCCCAGGTCCATCATCACTGATCCACCATCTCACACCGCATAGGGAGCTCCCCCACACCCTATGTCAACTCCACTCGACCCGTTCCCGCCCCGCCCCCCCCAAACCACAACCTCCCTTCCAAAACTTCCGCCAACCTCTCCCCGCCCCGTATGGGAAAAACATGTCCTCGCCGTCGGTTGCCCCATGCAACCCCCTGCATCTCACAGTCCCACCCCCCCCCCACTATACACCACTACCTTCCCGAAGCTCCCTCCCTCAACCTCCCCACACCGCTCTATCCCCCACTTACGTCCACCCCCACCAGCGTAATACCGTCCCCCTTAGGGTCCCCCCCAACTTCCCCCCCCCCCGCCTCAAAACGCTTGCTCTCCACCGTTCATCACCAACCTGGGCACACAACACGAGTCCTCCTCAACAAACTCCAGACTCCCCAACGTTCCCCACAATTCGCCCCCCACCATCGCCCCCCCCCCGCCCCCCCCCACTCCACATACGCCTCAACTACTGGGTTGAAAAAGACGAAAGCGAAGGTGGGGGAGAAAGACCAGAGAAGAGTCCTCCCCCCCCCCTGTAAACCGTTAAAACTCCCCCCCCCCCCCCCCCCACTCCCCCCCGTCCTTCCCCCCCCCCCCCCCCCTCTACCTACCCAACCCACAACTCCCCCCCCCCCCCCCCCCCCGCCCCCCCGCCCGCCCCCCGACGGTTCCCGCCACTCCCCACCAACACACGACATCAGTTCCCCCCCCCCCCCCCCTCCCACCCCTTCCCCCCCCCAGCGATACCCGGTCAAGGTCCGCTCCCCAAACTTCCTACCGAAGCTCCCCCCAAATCCGGTACCACCGTCCCACCATCCTTCTCCCCGCCCCCATGCTGTCCCCGTCTGACACTGCACACCCACCTACCGAGTCACCAATAGCCATGAATCTCCCCACCATCCGCCCTCCCTGGACGTAAACTCCTTCCAAACAATCCCTAGCCCTACCGTACCCTCCCTCATTCCAAACAAAACTCATCGTCGTCACCAAACTTTGCCCCCACAACCTACGTACTGCAAACACATCCAACACGCAGGATCCCGAACTCAAACATCTCCCCCCCCCAACTGTCACTCACCAGGACTTACAGGGACGGGAATCCATAACGCCCTCTAACGCCAAACAAATCCGCGGTCCGAACCCGTCCCACGGTCCCCGACAGAAACCACTTCCAACAGCTCCCCCCGTCCCCACTCCCTCCCAACAACTGCCAAACCAAGAAAACAGTCTAGGCGGGGGAAGTCGGAAGCAGGAAAAAATATCCTACCCCCCCCTCCCGCCGACACAAACTCCGCAACCGGAGGGAGAGAGGAAGGGTCCCACTTTACCCCCTACAGACTATTATAAACGTCGCCACTCGCGACACCCCCACCCCTCCACGTCCTTCCCCCCCCCCCCCCCCAAACGCAGGGAAATAATGATGGGGTAGGGACGGAGAGTCAGTCATATGTGAAGGAAAGAGATCCCCAACCTCATTAACCGATCCCCCACCCCAAACTCCCCCCCGACACTCTCAATTCCAGCCCCCCAAACCCTCAGCCCCCTACACAACGTCCCCACCATCCCAAGGTACATACTTACTCCGCTCCTCCCCATAACTATCCCCACAACATGCCACACCGACTCCCGTGACATCCCCAACTTCCTAACCTCCCCCATCCTACCAAGAGGTTCAACTTAACAAATATCCACCGCCATTCCCTCCCCCCACCCCGTCCGAAACTCCCCCCCCCCCTAACTCCCACACTCCCTCCCTTTGCCTCCCCCTAATCTCCTCCCCCCCACCCCCTCAAACTCTTCTCCTCCCACTTTCCCCGACTAAACGTCCCCCCCCACAGTCTCCCCCCCCCGTCTCCCTCTAACACATAACACTACTTCCCGCGCTACTCCCTCTCTAAGCTGCCCCCCTACCCCGTGTACACTACTACTCCCCCCCCCCCCCCCACTGGTCCATCTACCCTAAATCCCCACTGATTCAACTACCCCCCCGCTCTCCCCCAAACCTGTCCCAGATCTCAACACCTCGCACTCCAACTAACTCCCCCAACTATCCATCACAATCAACTAGGAAACTTCCTATTTTTTTACTATATTTTACTCACCTGTTTCTTGCTATATAAAAAATTCTGTTTAAGATGAATCAAATTAAATATGATATAAGCAGGTTATTCATTTAAAAGAATGTTTTATGTGCATGACGATAAATTCTTGTTTTCCTAAGAAATATTTTTTAAACTATAGCATCTCCATATATGAAGCTTAAACACAGAATGTAACATCATTAGGAACTTTTGACTAGGTTCCCACTGAAATTCAACTTTTAATTTTCCATAATCAAACAAAAAAAATTCTGTTCAAAATATACTAATGAACTAATTATGCATCATATTAAATATGAGTAAGTAAACAATTTTACGTTTCCTTTAAATTACAGTGCAGTAATTCAGAGCATTATGAAAATTTAATTTATATTCATTATTATTATGAAGCAAATAAAAGAAATGCATACAAAAAATACTTAAGCCATTCAAAAAGTAGATAGCATTTATATAAAGATATGAACTTCAAGAGAAAAACCGTTTATTCTGAGAAAGAAATTTATATCAACATATCACTCGTAACAAGCACTACTTCTTAGGTGTTATAAATGAATCTGAGGATCTTAGAATTATACTGAACTAAAAAGAGTAAGTAATTAATATAATTACTTATTGTAATGCATAATCACACAGTACAATCTAATGTACAATTATAATTCTAAAGACATTATAGAATATTAACATGTCTAATGGGAAGAACAAGGAATACCTCAATAACAACATTGAGAAGAGAGCTACAGATTGATTAAATTGCATTAGATAGTAGGTAAGTAAAATACTTTTTGCAAGCAAATCAGATTACAGTAACTTTTCAATTTGCTTTCTTTCTATGAAGGGCACTTCTTGTTTATTTTATACCATTTAAGAGACAAAATTTTTATTATTTGAAAAGATTGTGTGTGTGATTATGGCAAAGCCTCGAGGGCTATTTGCCTAAGGGGAGGGATGCCTTGTGGAAGACTTTCTCAGAGGAACTGACTCGTATACACGTTACACATGGGGAAAACCAGGAAAATGCCCATGCAACCAGCCCGTTCGTGGGATTCGAACCTCTGACCAAAATACCGTAAATATTAGCACCGTATATAGTGTTCAGCGACTTTACCACTCGGCCGCTGGTGGGCTTGAAAAGATTGATTTGTATTTGTTAGCTTGTCCGACTTTTAGAAAAAATTTTGATTTTTCCCTGATATTCTTTAGAAAAAGTTTATATTTTTCTTCACTATTTTTTCTCCTAATTTAGGATTGTCCAAGTAATTGGGACAGCTATTCGAAATAAGATATCTGAAAGACTCAGAACTAAGCTGTGAAAGAATGTTAAATCCCAAAAATTGCTCCCAGATTGTAATTCAGAATTTCCAAAAATTATTTGGTAAAGAAATACAAATTACAAAACAGAAATACAAATTACATACATATTACAAAACAGGATTTAGTTTGCAGTACTTACAAATTTGAAAGATTAACATTGATAAATTCCTGACAATAAGAAATATTCCTTCTATTTTTTTAGAGTTTACTCAAGTAAATATACCAAAAATCATAAACAGACATACCAAAATCCTAGCACACATCTCTTCCGATATAGCATCTGAGTTCTCCAATTCGGTTAATTTAAGATCTGTTTCAGTAAGGAAGAGAAGTAGATGTTCTTTCACTTTATCATATTCTTCCCACATTTGTAATACATTCCCAGTATACTCCAGAACATCAATGATGTTCTTATATAATTTATGCCACCTATCATTTGCTTTCAATAAGCGACTCTTCAACTGATCCTCCACATCTAATTCTTGCTTGACTATGTCTTGATATAAAGTGTTCACCGAATGTAGCAAATGAACATTATCTTGGACACAATGTTTTAGATTCTGAAAAATACATTTCATTATACTGAACATTCTTCTAAACCTTTACATTCAATTATTAAATGAATTCACGAAGAAAACACATATAAAAAACCATCAAAAACATAAAGTAAATAAAATACAAAAAGTACTAAAGTATTAAAATTTCTAAATTTAAATTTTTTCTAAATTATGAAGGACATGTGTACTATATCCTTCACAACTGGTTATCTACATATGGTATATATTATATATATATATATATATTATATATATATATAACAAAAATATAAAGAAATTTATTAACAAATTACTAACTTAATTAGCAATGGCTCTTTAAATCCTAATTTCAATTTAAATATGTGTCCTTCATTCTGCATCACTTATCTGCAGTCATCCACATTGCTACAATTCTTGTCCAATTGCCGTCCAGAAAATTTCTGAAATTCCCAAAGAATTTCCAAACTATAAATACTCTAGCTGCATTGTGTATATCCTTTTTCTATCCTTGCTCATGATTAATTAATCCATATTTCCTCGCTTACTTGTATTCTCCATTATTTATGATATAGTTGCATATTTAAAATTGTTGGGCATTTTTTGGACTCCTAGTGTTGTACCAGTCAAGAAAAACTATGCTTCTAAATATTGTTTTTATACAGAAATAAAAACGGATATTTAATCTTCATGATTGCATTATACATTGTAATGCTCTCGCCATCCAAGCTACGACTAAAATAATTGGCAAATAAAAATGGATATTTAATCTTCATGATTTTGCTACACATTATAATGCTATCGCAATCCAAGCTACAACTAGAATAATTGGCATCTTCTATGCTAAGTTCTCTCACGATACCATCCCAAAATATTACACATATGTATAATTTTAATTTTTTAAATTATTCCTAATTTTGGTTTTGTTATTTTTTTATTGTTGTGCATTATTCTTATTTACTTATGAAGAGAAACACATGAGTGAACCATTTAAAACTATGTAAAAAAGCAATCTTAGCGTACCCTATATCTTAATAGATTTCAACCACGTTTTATTCAAAACTTACACTAAACTACAGTTGCTTCTAGTGTATTTTGTACAATAATTTTATATTTATTTATTGTATACATTATTTAATTTTTGACTATGTGGCAACCCAACTTTATTTGTATTTAATTTTTATATTATTACACAGAGCTTTTAATTCTGAGTCAACAGATGTTTGAATTGTAGAAAATTATAAATGGAATTGAAACTGGAAATATAAACACTTTCTACTGGGCTTCAGTAACATTTTCTATTATTAAGCACCCGCATTCGGCGATTTCTCAAGAACCTAGTGGCATTCTTGATTAAAGTTTCCAGAAAATGCATTTATAACAGCCCTAGCAGTAAATTCTGTTAAAACTTTCATATATATGTTTATCCTCCTCTTTGAGCACAGGTATAAATATGAAGCAGATCAAAGCATGCAGTCAGTTTAAAATGTGCCCCTTCCCCTTACAAAGCTCCTCACTCGGTGGCTATCATTTGAGACATTGTCCGGCGAGCAGTTTTGGTAATCTGCAATATCTTTTATATTTTAAAGAGAATTCTGCTTTATCTCTGTTTTTCCCCTTACATGTTTTTATAACTATTTATCTTGATGGCAAGAAATGGTATCAATTTTAATTAAATTGTAAGTCTTCCTGTTTTGTCATATTATTTGAAGAGATCTCAACAAACTCACAGCACATACTTTGTAATGGTCAACAGCAAAACTCTGATATAATTATCATGAGGCAAAAATATATATATATATATTTTATTTATTTTGTTAAATATAAATTAAAAAATATAAGACAATTAACATAATAAAACAGAACATATCAGCGAAAAGTAACTCACCATAGCTGCCAACTTTGAAATTTAATATGCATATAGCAGGGGAGTAGCTAGAGGAGGGCAAGGGGGACATCTGTCCCCAGGCGCAGAATCCAAGGGGCGCCAAATTGACGTTACGGCATTTTAAAATTAAATGTTTTCCATCCTTGGCAAGCAGTAGGGGGCATAAAATCTTCAGTTGCCCCTGGGCACTGAAAACCCTAGCTACGACTCTGGCATACAGTCTCACAGACAAATTAATAATGTACTATTCATATATTTAAAGCAAAATTAAATAGAAATATTTAGCTCTTAAACCTTAGATAAGGCTTCATAAAATACTCTAGAAGTTTCTGCAAATCAAAATAGTGTTCAAAACACTATCAACAACAAAATTCAAAAATTGCAGAAAACTTCCACAAAAATTGTTATCAGCATGATAATAGTGTCATAAGAAACTTGGGAAATTATGACCATAGAATTATTCAGACAGTAAAGAGACACTGCTTCATTTTTTATAATAATAATTGGAGATAGTATCTAAATGTGTACATTTTGTAAATACTCATCACATCAAGCCTCTCATCATTTTATTTACTTTGAGCCTGTTTCACAGGACTTTGGACTTGATCCGGTACAAAGATCAATTTTATTTTAGTATTATGCATTTATCCTAGTTTTTTCGCACTACGATTTACCTATTTAACCAAAATTTTACTTATTTTACTATTTATTTCACTTTCTTAATTGTTTAGCATCTGTAAATATTATAAATTTCTTCAAATAATGTCACGTGACTCACCAAAATTTTGTGATTCGCCATGAACCTATCAATCATCGTTCTCACACGATTACAAATAATTGTGGGACTTGTATATATTCTACTTATTCTATCATCATCTCTTTCATTTCAAAAAAATAATAATAATAATAATAATAATAATAAATTGCCATGCTTATCAAGAAAAAGATGCCATGCCTATACTACATATGCTTATCTTAGAAAAATGCCATGCTTCTACAATACTAGTAATCTTCATCACCAATAGATGGCAGCTCATTCTTTTTTTTTTTCCTCATGAAAGACACTAAGTTCCAGCTAAGGATCTCATTTATGCCTGATAAGACTACCCCAGATCTTTACTCCTAAGCAAATAACTTAGGTGTAAAGACCTTCAGATCAAATACTTGTCTTTACCATAATTCACGCCAATTGGATTAAAATAAATAAAATTAATTAAAAAATTACATTGAAAATCACTTCACAGAAATTTAGTTTGAACACCTCAAGTTTCATTTAGAAATAGCAAAAACAATGTCGTAGTACATTTTTATAATTATTTATTTTCATAACATTTTTCTTTCAAAAACTTGGTCATCAACAATTTTTTCTAGTGCTACTTTTGAAAGAAATGATCTTATGCAGATAAATTAAAAGCTGGTGGATTTGGCGATTTACCAGGAGATATAATTAAAAAATAGGAATCTCTCAGATTTACAAGGAAAGTTGGCAGCTCTTATACATGCTTAAAACAAACATTCATACATACATATGAACTATCCAAAATATGTATTCATACTATAATAATCCTTAAATAGCACACCTCAAATTTTTTTATGCTTTCCAAATATACGTTTTTTGAGTGCCCAGGAATACCGTAATCAAATTCGCAGACTATACCCTCTTTTGATGAAAGCCATTTCTCCAGACAGTCCATTGAATTTAGCATTCTTTCCTTCAATAACTTAATATTCTGGAAACTTCGGGGGGGGGAAAAGTAAAAAATCAGTTTTGCATACATCATATTTTTATCAAAAATTAGTTATTTTAACAATGGAAAGGCATTAAAAAAGACATTCATATAGAAAAAAACTGTCTGAAAAAGATTTATACATGTTAGTCTTTTAATATACTAAAAAATCCCATTTTATGCACGAATTTGTAAAAGTTAAAATTATTATTATTAAGGAAGGCATTAATTATGCCTTTAAATTATAAAAAAGCTTTATTAACATTTGAATTCAGAGAAACGAAGCAACGGGATAAAATTCCACAAACATGATGAAAACAGAAAACATAAGTAACAAAACAAAAATATATAAACATGATACCTGTCATATTAATATTTAGATTTAAAGCCACACAAATTTCAGTGAGGCAATAGCCAAACAAATTTGAAGTGCATTTTTCATATAGTTAACTCGCAATATAATGACCTTGCATAAAATGAGGTAGGATCATGCAAGAAATTGACATTTTATCGTGTTTCTTGTTCAAAAGTCGGCAAAACTGATTTATCAATATGCTATTCCATTAAATTCAATTATCTCTATAATTCATATGTTTAGAATTTTAATTATTGTTATAAATCCACTGAATAACTATAAGCTTTTAATGAAAAATACCCATATTTAGTTTTTCTTAATTACCTTTAACCAGTAAAAGGTACGAATGAATAAAATTATTGCTTATAGATATAAAATTATTGCTTATAGTAGAAGCTTTTGCAAAAGGCTTTTATATCATCTCGTCTTTACCAAAGTTATTTGTGCTAAGTTTTTAAACTGCTAAAAAATGATTTATATTATTTTACAAAGAGTTAATTCACATAAAATACTGATTTGCATTTCCTTCTCCTTGGAAGAAATTTGCAAAACTCCAATTATGTCTGTTATTTATTTTATAGACACATAAGTTCAACTCTGAATGAGTTCTCAATGCTTAAAAAATAAAGAAAGAACATTTGAAATGTTTTACAGATATTGGTATTCAATCTTCAGTACTTCATGCAGCAGTAGGAATTTTGCATTTAGTTCTCTCATTCAACATAAATATTGGATTTTTCAAATTTATTTGCACCCAGTAATGTATGATCATACAAAGCTCGTTTAAAAGAAGGAAAACACTTCAAAGCATTCCCAGACTTAACATAAGATACTTAAGAAAGAAGACAAGTTTATCATTAATAGACTTCTAATTGAAAGCAAAAATATGATAGATTTCATTTTCCTTCATGAAATATAGATAAAAACTTTAAAGGCTATAAATATAAAAACTTTTCAGCTTATTTTCATATTAACAAATATTGTAACATTATGAACATAGTAGGTGGTTCCAGAACATTTTTAGTGGCTTTTTTTAGTTATGAAGCTTCCCAAAATGATTCAGCTGTGCAATAACAGGAAAGGATAGAAATCGCAATTTTGAGTAATGATGCCATTATAATTCGCAAGGAATTTAATTCCATTTTTATCATAAAAAATCAAATATTATTTTATAATACATATTAATACAAATGTTATAAAATATGTCAGAAAACATAATGAGCTAAAATAAAAGTCTGAAAACATCAGTATCAACAAGTTTGTAACATAAAACAATGCTATTAATTAGATCTGTATAAAGTTAAGAAAAAAAATCTGATAAATCATTATGCAACAATATTCCCCTTCATTACTTTTCATTACAAATTATTGGTATGGATTTAAACAAAATTCAAACATTAGCATTCAGATAACTCAGCATTAAAAATTTCAATATACACAAAAGAATGAGATTTTACTCAAAGTACTTTTTAATAAATAAGAAGTATCAGACTTAAAGTTAAGCAAAATTACTCACAATAAAAGATACAAACTCAAGGATAATAATGCTAGTTTCTCTTAAAACTTTATCTTTAATAACACATTCACATTTTAAAGATACTTTATCTACACATTCCTTTTACTCGTATGTAGTTTACTGCATTTTAGATTACCAGCACCTGGCTAGCATACAAGAGAAATTTACATCATCAGTAGTTAATATAGCATACATAAAAAAAAATATAAACTCACTATGTTAGTCTTTCAAATGTCATGGTTCTTAATTTAGTCCACTGCTGCAAAAGTCTTTTGCATGATCTTTGCATGGTACTTTTCTCAATAGAACTAAAATACACAGTGGGTTCTGAGAGAAGTGCATCCATGCTATTGCCCATACTTATTAACTTCCCAGAATTGGCTTCAAGATTATCTAGGACAGCCTAAAAGATTCCACAAATAAAATAATCAAAGAATTCGTAATAAAGAGGAGAATTAACATAAAAATGATTAGAATCCACTCTATAAATATAAAAAAGTGACATTTACATATAAAAAAAACCTTATGGAACAATGCTCTGTAAAACGATGATATTCGTGAACTTAAAAAAATCTTAATCCAACTACATATATCACTACTTTTTCAGTGATTTCTACCCTAAAATTGCAAAATGGAATTCAGATACAAATTTATAACAAAAAGAAGAAAAAATGTTAGCGATTTTGAAAAATATAATCAAGATTCAGTCTCTATCTGCATTCAAATAGATTTTCAAATTATTTTATTTATTTATTTATTATGTGAAAACGTAATCTGAAGCCAAAGAACAAACGAAAGATTATCTAAATAAAATTTTCATACAGAGAGAGGGAAAGATAATGCATAGTAATTAAACGTGTAATCCTCAGTGTTTCACAGAGATCGCTTATGGGATCCACAAAATTTACATGCCTCTACGAAATTCAAAAAACAGAATAAGAACTAACCCTCACTTCCACCTCATAATCTAGAGAGTCCAGACAAATGGTGCCTTTGACAATTTTTGATATTTTAACAGAAACCGTTGCTGAGGAATCACCTGGAATCCCAGTGTCGGGATTTTTTGGGTCATTTCTTTATTGATCACTACACAAGGGGAATTCCACAGATCTAGAGATACAAAAGATCTCACAACACATTAACCAGGTACCAGTACAAAAATGAATTATTGAAGGATCTTCTGGTATGCAAAATATCTACCAATATGTACTACTGTAGTGGAAATATATGATCCCTAAATTTTGTCTTAAAGAGAATAAAATGTTGTGGGACAACTGCATTCATATCTGTATCGATGGGGCAAAGGCCATGAGTGCCATAATTAATAGGGCTGTATTGCTCATACCAACAGAAACTGTTCAAATAGCCATTGTATAACAGCACTTACAGGGGAAAAAACCCTTTAAAAGATTACTCTTGAGGATGTCATCAAAGTCATTAATTTCATAAAATCTCGGACACTGAATAAGTGTTATTTAAAATATTATGTGATCCATGAGAAGTGTACATACATATCTTGTTTTACATAATGAAGTCAGATAATTTAAGAAAGAAAAGAAGATGCTAACCTGCATTTTTTGAGCTAAGAGATGAAGTACGAGTACTTTTTTTTTAAAGAACACTATTTCAAACTAAAAAGACAGACAGAAATTCAATGCTTAAAATTGCATATTTAATTAATATTTTACAGAGATCAATGAATTTAATTTAATCCTTCAAGGCAAACCAGTATATGTATTTAATGCTAGTGAAAATATGCTTGCATTCAAGACTCTGATGACTGATTACATCTCATACCAACAATTAATTGCTTCCTAACAATAATTGCATTAAATAGCTTTACTTAACACTTCACCAAAGATCTTACTAATGTAAGTATCTGTTAACAAGACTTTATGCAGAAATACAGGGCTTATGTTTTACATCATTCTTTCACCTTCAAAACCAAAATGTGTACTTGCTTCTTTGTGCTTAATGAAAACTTGAGACTAACTCATATGAACACAAATTTTAAAATATACTTTATTTATATTTTCAGTGTGCATTATAAAAGATGATTGTTTTAAAAATATTTTTCAGCATATTTCAATATTCATTATATTTTTGCTTGTATATAAAGAATTTATGATGATTTAAAAAATATATTATTGCATGCATATGGCTTTGTATTGAACTGAATGCACACAAAACCACTGATATCTTGATAGAATTTATTTTCTCAAAAGAAACACTTTACAGTCCTGGAACTTTCCACAGAAGTACTTGCACCATTCTTTTCAGTATAATAGACCACAATCAGTAGTTACCACTTGAAACCACTAACAGCATTAAACACAATGCAATGCAAAGTGTACCTAAAAAGGCAAAGCTCGCACAAAGATCTCTCAACACTCTGAATAAGTTATGAACTAAAAACTGAGAAATAATGTTCTCTCCCAGTCTTATTTAGTTTTCCCTTGGCAGGCGGGAATTTTCCAGTACTTTCCCTTTCTTGAAATTGCTGGAAAGCATGTAAGATTAGAATTTTAGAGTTCTATATAAGGAGCGTATACAATTACAGTTAAATATAAGTATCAATTACAGTTGTACAGGGACTGGAGCAAAATGATGCAAATTTGTAGACAAAAGTTAGTTGCCAAAACTATCACAAACTTGGAAAGCAAGCACGATTTTTGCAAGATAGCCATTTATTTACCTCCACATTAAACAGCTGTGACCCCTGTATTCTTATTTTTACGGCAGAGTTCTACTTTTTCAAACATTCACTGGGGTCTGCTCTCACAGAAGCGGTGAAACGGCAGGTCTTAGCTTGGGTATCCCATCCACTCAGGTCTGCCACTGTAGAGAAATGAGTCTTGCACACTTGCCAGGAAGACTTTTGCCTAGTTTTAGAGGGGGTTCAAGAAAGACATAGATAGGAATTTAAAGGCATTGCAATTGCTTCTTGCTGTTGCTATAGATTTAAGCTATCAACTACCTTGGTGAGAAACACTGTCATAGATTCTGTTGCTCTACAGCAGAAACTCTTTCTCCAAATCATTGCTCGACAACAGAAACTCTTTCTCCGAATCATTGCTCGACAACAGAAACTCTTCCTTCAATTTGTAGTTTGATAGCAGAAAGTCGTTCTTCAGTTTCTCCAATTTTGTTTTCAAGTGTGTCTTAATCGGCTGTCCATAGCTTCAAATTTATTTTCTATTATGACAGTAACTTCTCTTTTCTTTTTCTCTTGAACTGACTTGATGGCCTTTCCATCAGTCCTTGGACTGATTTCATCTTTTCTTGGCCTTGTTTTCATCTCTTCTTTAATGAACTTCATTGCCACTTCCATCTTTTCTTTGCCTACTTCCATCTCTTCTTTAAATGCAGCAAAGGTTGTCACCAGTTGCCTCAGTTGTTCATCTGTCACTCTTGTCACTGGCGCTCAACCCCACTTCTAACAGCAAAAGTTGCTACACATTTACAGATTCGCGACGGACTGAATTTTTCACAAAAGAAACACTTCACATTTTTGGAAATTTCCACAAAAGTACTCATACAGCTCTTCTCAGTATAATAGACCGAAATTGCCCCTTGAAACTACTAAGAACTCCGAGCACAGCACAATGCAAAGCGTATCTAAAAAGGGGAAGCTCCTATGGAAATTTCTCACTACTCCACATTGGCTCTGAACTAAAAACTGATACTCTCTCAGGTCTTATATAGATTTTTCCCGGCAGCTAGGAAATTTCCAGTACTTTCCCTTTCTCGAAATTACTGGAAGGTATATACAATTACAGATAAATACAGGGATCAAATACAGCACCATTTACAGTTATACAAGGACTGGGTCAAAGTGTTGCCAAATGGTCACCAAGCTTGGTGACTTTTGGTGATATCTCGGCAAATTAGTTACAAAAAATAGTCACCAAAACTAATCGCCAGGTTGGTAATATCTCACCAATTTTGCAAGATAGCCATTTACCTCAATGTTAAATAGACTTGTCCCTGTAACCTTATTTTTCCGGCAGAGTTAAGCTTTTCCAAGCATTTCATGTTACATTATACAAAAGATACTACTATTTCACATATAATTTCACTACAACTATTTACATACATACAAAATTCATAACAATATCATAGCACTTATGAAAACAATTAAGGAATTTAAAACATAACAAAACACCTTATAAATTTTAGACTATATTGATACATTTTTTATTTCACTTGAGTTGGCAAAATTTAACTTACCATGAATTTAGTGAATCTCTAATTTTTCAGTATTTGAGAAATTAGAGATTGTATTTGAGAAATGATATATCATAACATGAATGTGTGTGTGTGGGGGGGAGGAACTTGATTTTTTTTTAACTTTCATATTTTTTAGTCTATGATGTGATTAATTGCTTAAGCATTAAAAATTATCATTTCCCTAAAATTATGTTACTTTTAATTTCCACACATAGTAATTTGTCTTCATCATATACATCAGATTATATGCAATAACTCTAACATATTAATAAATAGGGATCATTTTATAAGAACAAATATATTACTTATTATCTTACAAACTATGTTTTTAAAACGAACTTAGAGTAATTTTGGCAGAAAAACATAAAAATAGTTAATTATTAGCAACAAAAAATAATAATAAATTTTAAAAACAAGTTTAAAATATTGATCAAATATTTTTTTTAAATTAACAGAATAACAACACTTGGATATTATTTCATTTCAAAGTAAAGTATTCTTTTGATGTTAAAAGCACCATTAGTGGAGCTTGTCCAACTTTTTTGGAGGATGCTGAGTAACCTTACATTATCATACATACTATTTATAATCTTACGCAACCTGGCAATCATTGTCATATTGCACAATACACAATATCTTTTAATTTTTATCCCCGTTGTCCTGGTAGTTAGTTTTTTTAGTGTTATTTGATATGACAAAAGGCATTTAAATTATTTTTTGAGTTCTAACTGCTTAGCAAACTGAGGAATTTAAAAATAAAAAAGCACACTTCTTAACTACTGAAAATCTTAATTTTTTAAATATATCTAATTGAAACAATTTAAAATACATTTAATTTATAATAGATCCAAATTATAATTATGAATATTATCAGCATTATTATATTTAATAAAAATATTACTCTAATTTAAAGCAAGCAAGATTTAGTTATTCTACTTACAAATTATAAAAACTGCTAGTTACAGAACAAACTGCTATTTACATTTTTCATTTTACAGTAATTTTTATGGGTTAATCAACATTATATTAAATTATATACATAAATACAAATTGTATAAATGATAGCAGAAAAATGTTGAACATGCCTGAGTTTTATTCAAATTTCTATCGATTTCTTCATCAGAAGTATCAGAATATTGAAGTGGTAAATATATGTAACTTTCAGAAGCAGATAAAATGTGAGTAATTTCTTCAATAAAAGAGCTGATTGAACTTTTTTGCTCAATGATGTTCCTCAAAGTCTCTAACCTAAAATATAAAAAGCCATGACACATCAATTATTAAACTTAATGTAACTCTTTTCCTATAATTTATATCTCATTCTTGGTATACACTCAAACATAACATAAAGTAGGTTATCCATGCATTAATTATTTAAACTCAACATAAATTTACTTTCATAATTAATATCTAATTTCTTGGTATATAAATAAAGATGACATAATGTAGATTATCAATGCATTAGCAATTTATTTGGAAGTTACAATGATTAAAATAAGCATTACTTGAAAGTCAATGTCAGAATTTAACTAGAGAAAACAGGAGTTTGATGTTTTAGAAGAATTCTAAGAAAAAGAAAACTTATTTTACACTAAATAATAACACATCCACAAACAGATTTCGGAAAAGATGACTCTAAAATAAAAGGAAAAAATATTAAACTTCAGCAACTTCATAATTATTAAACTTTCCTAATAACTGAATTTGAACAACTTCTCAAGAAAGGTAAATAAAATAATGCAAAACATGAAACCGTTAATAAACAGATAAAAGTAATTAGTTGTGTGCTGTAGTGCTTTCAGCAAAAAAAGGGGAATAGCAGCATTTCAGCTTCAGTGAAAAATAAATGATACTGATCTGCACATGTGCACATAGCTTATGTTTCTTAATTTAGCAAAAATTTTCTTGATTTTCATTCAAAAATATTTAATATGGTTATTAATTTCAATCTCAGATCACACGAGGATCAGTCAAATGGCAAAATAAAGCACAGGGGTTCACCTCACCATCTCCAGAAGTTCTACTTAGCAGAGTTTATGCTCAAGCATCAGACTGGTTGTGACAATATTATTCACAACATTTGCAGGATTGTGGGCACCAGAAAATGAGTGTTAAAAATGAATTTGAGATATCTCTCTATATGCAGCTTTAAAAAAAATAAATTTCTAACAAAATTATATTAAACAAGATAACGCATACAAATTTATATTAAATTGCATTTACACTTATATATTAAATAAAATGTGCACTGTTGACATTGAATGAATTGCTCGTGTGTGACTATCTGTTTCATCCCAAAGCTGAAACACACTTATTTCCATTTCTTACCATGGCTACTACAATATATAGGTACACAGATAAATATAACAATCAGAAAAACTGAATGATTCAGATCAGAAATGCTACAGTCAGTTTAGTCACAATTAAATAAATAAACGAAATGAATTTTTTAAGCTAGTATAGATAAATATGATACAATACAAATTTTGAATATGCTTAAAAGAAACACTTTTATATTAAATTATTTGTTGATTATTTATTTATATAGAAGTGAGCCTGAATTGCAACACTCAATGCATACAAAAAATTAATAGATCAGAATCAGAAGATAAAAAATTTGATTACAAAAACTTGTGCAATCAATTTTTTTTGATTGCACAAATTTCAAATAAAAAATTTAATTGCAAATAATAATAATTCCCATAAGAATACATTTCTAATGGTTGAAGGAGTATTAGTTGTTGTAGTTGAAGGTTGAAGTAGTGTATGAGCTTTATAACAGTTTTCTTCATTTATAGCATAAATATGAATTCTTCAGAATGTACTTCATAGAGGTTTATCTGCTTAACATTCTTTGCCTTAAAACAATCTCAATCAAATGTAATTTTCTACTTTTCTTATTTCTTCATGAATGATCTAATTACTTTATGAATCTAAAAGTAATTCTCTATTTTTTTTTCTTCTTCGGGTTTTCTTATAATAACTTTATTTCACAAACTATAATGTCCATCAATAGCAGATGTCTTTTGGGGATGACAACAAATTAAAACTTCAATTTTGATTTTGTTAGTAACGAAAGATAAACTGCTTCATCCTGAAGTATGAACTATCAAAATTATTCTGCAGACTTTATTATCAACTTGATATCATATTTAATCAAGATAGACCGACTTTCTTTTTAACATTTATGTCTTTTAAAATATTTTGCTCTGTGTGTAGCTGTGTTGTAAACTGTATTGGCTATATTTTACAGAAAAAGCTGTGAAAACTTTTACATTATTGTGAATGCATCAAAAACGTCCACTTCTCTGTTGCCCAGAGTTTGGTTTAAAAAATTAAAACATAATATGCTACCTATGGCTATATAGAATGACTACGACTACATAGAAGTTTTTCTTTGGGAAAGCAGCAACTCATTAGTTATTAACAAACTTAAATTGATTTTGTTTCAATATTTGTTGAGATGCTGGGAAAAATATTATTTAAAAGGTAAAGTGAGAGTATTCACATTTTAAACAATAAGCCAAAATGCACCTTTTAAATGATTTTGTAAAGATTAAAAAATTAAGTCTAATTTTTCTTTTTTGATAATCATACTAATTTTTTGGTATTTTTCCATTTTGCTGAAGCAAGCAATAAAGTCGCCAATAATGGTACAACCGATGCCAAACAAAATATCCTCGCTGGTAACCTTTTACTTTAACTTTTACATTTTCAAAACAAGTAGCAGCCATTTCTTATCAGGTTGATTGTTTCTTTCATTACTGGCATACAATTACATAGAATTTTTACCAGATAGTTCAATTTTATGCCCTAAGGCCTTTCACGGGCGGTAATTAAGTCAATCAGGATGCAATCAAACCGTTCACCCGATGGCAAAAATTTAGAAAAGGCAAAGTCAAAGGTTAAATTCATCAATTCTAGTGAGAATGCACTAGCGAAGTAAAACACTGCAGTTTTAATTTCTGAAAAAGCTGTTTGTACAAATTGAAATAATTCTTGCATTTAAACTTGTATTCCAAATTAAGATTTAACTTGAAATTAATGTATATAATTACTGAGAGAATTAGATTTTTGTAGCATAGTTTATGTGAGATGAGACCACTTGGGGTCACGTGATATGAACCGACAAATCATGATGTTGTACGATGAAAGCATAGTAAATTCTTAAATTAATTTCTTTTTACAAATTTATTGTCTTTATTTATTGGCTTTTTTACAAAATTTTAAATGACATTAAAATGTTTATACCTTCAAAATAAAAAATTCTTAGAACTAACATTTGTTAACACTTTTTATGTGTATACCATGTGTTTTCGCCAAAAAATTTTACTTGGCGAGATTTGCACTGGCGAAACGGAAAAGTACCAATTTTTTATATCATTTAAAATTTACTTGTCTTATTTTTATGCACACAATGTTATGTGAAAGATACTTAAGATTTCTGAATAATGCATAATTAAAATAATTTAACTGAAAATGCAATCAATATTACTAACATCAAGTATTTATTATATTAAGAAATATATTTATGATGAAAAATAGCAGAATTTTGTTATTTACATTAATATATGATTTAAATAAAATAACAGAAAAGTAAAAATAAATTCTTGTTTAAACAATCTTTCATTACATATCATGTAAACACTCATATAAAGAAAGAGGTTGGCTTTAAAATAATATGAAATTATTTATATAAATATTAAGGATAGCAAATTTACTTACTGGTCATTTAGCAAGGTTGTGACTCTTGGTAAAACAGTATTCAAATTAGTTACTTCTTGAACAAATTTGTCATCAGTATCTGTGTCTTTTAATAACAGATTGCCTAATGTTATTATTTCCTCGAACTCTGGTTTCTTTTTGTCTATTTCTTCTTGAATTGCCTAAAAGAAGGAAAAAAAAAAAAAAAAAAAAAAAAAACTCTTACTGAAATCTCTTAATTACATACAATTTTAAATTTTAAGCAACCTTCTGAAAAACTGAATATATTTAGAAATATAATAGCCAAACCTTTAAACAAGCATTGTATCTTTAAACAACTTTTAATCCCTATTTCAATAAGAATTAACAGATTTTGAATTGAAGTTGCATTATAAAAATTTTACTTAAGTAATATTGTTTAAATACACTCACTTGCAATTTGGTAATAACTTTTTCAGATGGTTCCAAATATTTCTGTTTTATTTTTTTTTCTAAGAAATCATTCCACTGCAGTAATAATATTGATTTTTTGTTAAATACTGTCCGCTTTTCCAAACTACAGGTAATGGTGCTATTAAGTTTATCTAATTTGCAAATAAGCAGAAGAGCTGCATTCTTCTGAATATTAATTTCTTCATGATAATCAGAAAATAAGCATTTTTCTTCTAATTCTAAAACCTTATGGTTCCAATTAGTTAGTTCCTCCACAATTTTCTTCAGTCTTTCCTTCTTTTCCTATGAAAACATTAAAGAATAAATTCTTAATATACAGTATGACATAATAATTTGTTCTGAATACAAACATTTTACATTAGCAACACAAATTATAGGCATTACATAATCATCAAATTAATACACAATGGATGAGTATTATAATGAAGTAAAATATTAGTTAAATAGCATCACAAAATGGGTATTAAATTTTTTATGAAATAGAGGACTATGAAAATTACATTATGTACCTATTACTTTTCATTTACTTCATTCAAACAACATTTCTTTTTATAGCTAATGCAAGTATTCCTGTTCAACAATTAATTAAAACAAAGAGAAGAAATAAATGGTTGTAATAAATTAAAATACCACTCAGCAATCAGATAAAAGTAGAAATACAGAAGTTTAATGTACTGCATTAATAATTCATAAATGTAAAAAATTGTTCAATATACACAAACAGCATATGTTTTAAAAGAATTTATAAAATGACTTACTTTAGCTTGCTCCATATAAATTTTTAAATCACTATAGGCCTCTGGAATGCTCTGTTTTAAGAATAATTCAACAGACTGAGCAGTTTCTTCAGCGGTTTCAATACCATACTTCAATTTTTCCAATAAATCATGTAACTTTTCCAATTCTGCCTTGTGACAACTTAACATATTTTCCTGCATTTGAATTTGGTGCTTAAAACTAAGCATTTGTTCTCTGATATTATTTATTATATCACGATTCAACACAGAGCACAGCTTTTCAGCAGCACATTCTGCTTTTGCCACAAACTTTCTAATGGTAGCAGAGCTGTCAATAAATTTCTGAAAAATGAAATAAAAATGAAAGTTCATTCATTTTTATATTTTAATATAATAATATGAGAGTTTAACAATCTCATATAAGATAAAAATAAGAAAAAAAGAGTTAAAAATGTTACTTTGGATACTTATGTAAATTTATAGTAAGAGAATAGCTTCTTTTAAATAAATAATATTTATTCTGATTAACAGGAAGTCAGTTAAAAATTGTGTGTCAATATGCCAAATGGGGCAACCCAATAGCAAATCGAGGGTGGGGTGCTATGGGGTTGCAGGTTGCTCCAAAGCTAAACCAGAGTTCTCATTTTTTTTTAAATCACTTTACCTGTTTGTTCTAAATCTCTCCTTTTAAAAAAATGGTGACATTGCTTTCTGGGTTGACAGGCTCATCCTGTTTTTATAGTCATTCCAGTTGTACTTGTGGCATTGACGTGGTTGAGAACTTTTATTGGGTAGTTATTTGATAGTGCTTTTATTCAATTATAAAAAAGTATTGTAGTGTCCTCTGCGATTCTTGTTGTCAAGTTAGTAAAGTTTTTGATTTACATAAGCAATGAGTTTCAATTAACTTTGGCATTAGTGATTATTATTTTGGCCAATTTCTTAATCTCCATTACAGAATATTACTGAAAATAACATTTATTGTTATTGAGCATGAATCTGAGTTTGTTATTATTATTAAGTTATTATGGTTACGTAGTGCCCTCAACCATTAATTTTTTTATTTTGTGATAGTGTAAATTTCTGCACATTATTATTGAATTATATTAGCATATTATTATTAATACAAATTCACCTCACCAGAAAAAAGAGGGGAAGAAAAGAAGAATAGGTTATTTTGAAAACTTTGAAAGATCTGGATGTCAAATATTTTAGAGAACAAGGTTATGATTATGATTGTGTTGTGAGCAGAGAGTTTAAATGGACATAAGGACATATTGTCAAACGTCAACCTGTGCCTAACTTAAGCCTAGTGTGCATTATATGCCACACTGCTTAAATCTTGCAATCTTGGATTCTTGCCAAGGCATCAGAAATTGTTTTGGGATAACAGAAAATACACATATTCATTCCTTCATGTCACAAAGAGATAAGAAGTTTTATCAAAAAAGATCTAGAGCTATGAATTTTGCCCCGAATAAAATAAACTGCATTTAAAGGAATTAAATCCATTTGAAGGAACCTCATGAAATTAGTCAGTGAACTGACCGTAATGTGTCAATTGGTACCACTGCATTAATCAGTTCCATTCGTATGGTGAAATTTATTGTTTCCTTTCTATAAGCAAATCCGTATTTAGCAACAGCATTTTATTAAGTAGATAGCCACAAAATGAAAGTTTGGATTTGGCTTTCACGGTAAAACACGTTCACCCACAAAAAGAAAGTTTGGATTTGGTTTTCATGGTAAAACACGTTCAGATGCTTCAAGATCAATTATTGGATATAAAAAGGAGGAAAAAAAATGCAGATGATCATTTTGAGACACTTCTTTCTATAGCAACAGCAATGTGCGAGAAACATGAGATCCAGTAAATGACAGGTCGATTGGTCCAATGTGGATATTACAGATCCTGAATCATACTATCCTATTTTGGTCTTTCTGCCATTTTCGGATGCTATGATTACAGAAATTCAGAATAGGATTTTAGTCCATGAAGATATTTTATCTTCCCTTTTCCGCTTGGTATCTGGCTCATTTCGACATATTGGTCGTTTTATGAGGATGATCTTCTGGAAAATACTGCCTTCATCAACACTGAACAAGTACATGATTAATATTTTTTAAGAAAAAGATAAATGAGTATATTTCCAGTCACCTAATCATCGGTTATCAGTGTGTTAAATAGATGTGAAAAACAGATGTTTCCTAACATACACAAACTTTTTTTAGAACAGTTGCAGTTATACTAGTGACATCAGTACTTTAAGAAATTGGATGGTTTATATGAGGAATCCAACAGGGGAAAACAGACTAATCACACTGCCACTTGTGAATATATATTATACTGTAGGCATAAATGATAATGTAAAGTGTGCTCAGTAAGTTAGGCCAAAAGAGCCATCATATAATTATAATCTTATAATTTATTGTCATTTCCTAACTTGATAAGTTTAATATTTAATGCCAATGTATTTTGTTGTAACATTTAATAGTAAACAAAATTTAGTACTATTTTCTATAGCCATATCATCACTATTGGGTCTTTAAAATATCACTTAGATTTTTTTCAGTTTGCCTAACCATTTGATATATGAATTTATGATAAGAGATTAAGAAAACACCCTCGTTCACTGCAGTAAAATTTGGAGATGTCATGATGATATGAACTTTTATGACCCTGACCAAAACCCTGAAATCGCCACTGGGATAACATAATGATTAACAATCATAGTTCTTCTAAAACAAGGTTTCATTCACAATAGACGACTTTACATACACACATACCGCTCCCAAATAAATAGTATTTTACTGCTATCAAAGCATCAAAATAGCACTGCAATGAAAGTTCATGCTTCAAAAATTTAAGGTTTGGAAATTGCAAGCTTGTTTGAATATTCTTTTTTGACAAAATTCAGTTTCTTTACATCTACTGTCAAAAGTATACTTTGACAGAATTTTTGTAACTCCAATTAGGAATGAAAAACTAGAATTCTTGACTGACATAATATTCATCTTCTTTAAGAATTTTTGTATTTGTCTTTTATATTTATTTTGCATTTAATAAAACAGCCATTCTTTTCATAAAGTTATATAGATATTTAAAGTTGCCATTCCTATTCCCAGTTAGATTTTGTGCCAACATTTACATTTGGTATCAGGTCCCATTAGCCAGAAAATATTCTGTTCAAATTTTTTCATTTGAAACATCATACAAATCAAATAAAAAGAAAGATATTAAATCTAAAAAATAATTACCATAATTCTCCCCCTCCAAAAAAACACATCTAACATAAACAATGGATAAAGTATGCAATTAAAAAAAAACAGAATTAAATTTTTTACATCAATAATCCTCCAATGAATGGGAATCCTTCTCCACACAAGAAGCTGAAATAAGTAACCTCAGGAATAATAGTGATTGAAAACTGAGGAATAGTAACTGACATTAAAAATAATTTATCTCTTACTTTGCAGACTGATATTTTCATATGTCTAGATGCATACTATTTTAAGATACAAAAAATTCTTCCCCTTTTATTAATTAAAAAAAATAATTTCACATGCACTTAAAGGCAATAAAATATCTTAAATTACTTATTGCTGACTGAAATGTTTACAAAAATTTGTAAAACAAAAGTTTATAATTATCAATTTTTTTGTAATAAACTATTTTAAAGGTTTTACATATTAGACTAAAAAATTAATATTTAAAGAAATGTTTTTAAAAAATATGCTTTATGATTAAATGTACTAACAAATGAATATCATATTTAAAAATACAAAAATTCAACCTCAGTCTGGCGTTAAAAAATACTGCATTGATACAGTGGGGCATTCTTTTACCTTCAGATGCAAGAATCCTCAAATCCTTACCTTGAATTTTAATTTTTCCGGGGGATGTGGTCAGGAATATGAATATTGTTAGCTTTTAGTGATAAGCAAACATTAGTATCTACCGAATTTTTTTAATTTTTAGAGCTGAAATTTACAGAAGTAGGCTTATTCCAAGTTTGGTTTAGTTTAATAAAATGTTAAGATCTTAGAACTATAGAAAGAAATAATAAACAAAGTTGAATGAACCTCGAATAATTTATTTAGGGTTCAGATTTGGTGCGTGAAAGTGCAGTTGCCCCTCGCGCCCTATTTTTTGACTTCGCTGATTCCACCCCCCCCCCCGTTTTAGTCCATGTGTTATATTTTTGATCAGATAGCCTGGCTCAGTAAAAGTAGGCGGCCAGTGTAACTCTGATTAAAAATCCAGTTACGACCATATGCAGTGCTGATAACGACCACGTGTTTCTGAGACTCCTCTGCCGATGCTTTATTTTTCTTCTTTTTCTCCCTTTCTAGTAATTTCGTTCTCCCAGTGAGGAGGGACCTTTAACTGCCCTCCAAAATTGAGTGTTTTAATATATGTACGCTAAATACAAGGTTGTTATTGCGATTTTGATAAACATTGTTGTTTAACTAATTAATTTCATAGTGTCTCACTCTTCAGTGGTACACAGGCAATTAAAGTCTCTTTTAGAAGAAATGTGTGAATATGTGGATCTCCCCTTCTACAGCCATGTTCATTGGCTTAGATGAGGTAATGTCTTGAATAATTTCGTGTCATGCACGGAACACATTAGCAGGGTGTCTCTCGTGGAGTGAGGACGTGATACAATGAGCTCCCCACAAACCACCTGCAGCGACGCGACGCCGGAAATCATGGCCGGCAACCCCTAACGATACCAAGCGCCGAGATGGACACTACGGTCCCTGTCTCTGACTCCGATCCCGTTCAAGAATGAATCCTGATGATCTCCTGATCCAAATCAAACAACTGTATCTTCTCAAGGCCCGGTTCACCGACTTGGAACAGAATCTGAGCAGAGCCAGAAGATCGACGCCTCTCGCCAAGCTTCGACCTGAAGTGCGTTCAGCATGAATCACAGGTAACGCTTTCTAACCTTACCTCTCTTGCCAAACGCCTCAATTTGCCTCTATTTGCAATCCCCCCAACTGAGGATGAATGTATTAAAAAATTACTTAAATCTGCAAAAGAACTCTCAAATGATGTTATCTCTGAAAAAACTGTTAATTTGGATAAAATCAAAATTTAGCTAAAAATCAAAGCAATAACCAAATCTTAAAGCCAGCAAAGTTACATGCTGAAAAAATCCTAACCAGTACCAAAAAAATTCAAAAATTATCTTTAAATTCGCGAGAAAATACTGATTTTCCTAAAAATAAGAAAATTAGAAAAGTTGATGATGAGGGTTTTCAGCGGCCTCCTCGCCATCTTGTTGCACGAGGTGCGCCGAATTCTCCTACCAAACCAGAAGCGAACAATAGCC